TAAACTAAATTGAAAAGTAATCATAACAAAAAAATTCGAGAAATAATCCGTCGCTATTTGGTAAAAGTTTGTCGCTATATGCAATTAGTGATGGATTAGAGATAACATTTAATCCGTCACTAAAATTCGTCGCTATATTTTTAGTGATTGAATTTTTTTCCGTCGCTATTTTGTTGAATGTCCGTCACTAAATGATTCTAAATCGAGTTGTCCCCGACGTCTCAAATTCATCACTATTTCCAATTACATCTATCGCTAAATAGCGATAAAAAGTTTAGTCGCTAATATCCTCGCATGTTCGTTATAGTTTCGTCGCTATTTGGCGACCGAGTATGCATCGATCACTTATTATCCTCTCTATTCGTCGCTAAATCCATCACTATTTTTTAATATTTTTTAAATAAATTTAAAAATGAATGATAGAGCATTAAATGCTTTGTCTAAAGCAAAATGAAATGATTAGAAAAAAACGGAAGAAGCAAATTAAAAGCAAATCAATTAAGGGTAAATATGAAATTTCATTATTCCACTTAGTGGCATGATAGAAATTAAGAAGCAAATGGAAGGGCTTTTGTATGCAAAGCAAAAAAAAAAAAAAATAGAAAGAAAGAAAACCCAAAACCCCGAATTGAAAGAGAAAAAAAATCTGTACAATAGGTGAATAGTAGTATTGATTGTGAATGAACAACGTTAAATAAAAAGTTACGATGCTTAGTCTTTTAGTTTTGTTTAGAATAACCAATTAAATAGTTATTGTATCAAAAACTAAGTAATTAGTTTTTTAATCATTTTTTATCATGATTAATTTAATATTATTTTATTTCAAAAATATTTTTTTCTCATCAATCCTCTCTTTCTCTCTCACTCTCTCTCTCTCTCTCTCTCTCTCACACACACACACACACACACACACATATATATATATATATTCCTTACAATAAAAGATAAACTAAATTGAAAAGGAATCACAACAAAAAATTCATGAAATAATCTGTCGCTATATGTAATTAGTGATGGATTAGAGATAATATTTAATCCGTCACTAAAATTCATCGCTATATTTTTAGTGATTGAATTTTTTTCCGTCGCTATTTTGTTGAATGTTTGTCACTAAATGGTTCTAAATCGGTTGTCCTTGACGTCTCAAATTCGTCACTATTTCCACTTACATCTATCGCTAAATAGCGATAAAAAGTTCAATCGCTAATATCCTCGCATGTTCGTTGCTAGTTTCATCACTAAGTCCATCACTATTTTTTTTATATTTTTTAAATAAATTGCTGTTTATTGATAATTATAATAATAAACAAATATAAACAACTTTATTAAAATATGCTATATTATTAAATAAAATTAAAATTATATAAATTAAAATAAAAAAAATATATAAATGCATTAACATGTATAAAACTATTATTATTATTATTATTATTATTTTGTAAAAGAGAAATTTAGTCCTTAGTATCATCATCTCCTGCCTTATCTTTCTTTTGTGAGCTATTGAGAGGAACGGTTGACTCGCTGAGATGTGGGAGGGTTAGTAGGAGGGATGGGAGACGGTTGAAGATTCTCTAACAATCTCATAACTATTTGCAACCGAGTTTGCATGCTACTAGCTTAATTGAATTATTATTGGATGGTAGTCTCCATCCGCTTGATTCAATCTTTATACTAGACAGAAACCTTTTGGATATTGCCATAAGTATAACGCAAAGTCACAAAGGAGGAGCTAGTTCCGGAATGCGAGTAACACCATGACACATAAGTTCCGATATCGTACACTCTTCATACTTGTTGTATTTGCACTATGATTTTGTGTGTGGAACCTATATCTATTCGAACGTACTCCGAATAAGACTTTACAATTTCTAATAGAAATAAATTTTTAATTCAACCTATTAAACAAAATTAATCTAATTAATTAATGAATTAGAATTAAAATTAACTTAATTAATTCTAATTCGAATCAAATTAAATTTTATATAATAATTAATTAACAATTTGTAATATAAATAAATTTTTAATTCAACCAATTAAACAAAATTAACCTAATTAATTAATTAAATATAAATCTTATCAACTTAATTAATTTTAATTGTAACCAAACCAAACTTAAATTAACAATTAATTAACAATTTCTAATATAAATAAACTTATAATTAAACATAATTAACCTAATTAAATATAAATCTAATTAACTTAATTAATTCTAATTCTAACCAAATTAAATTTAAACTAACAATTAAATTAACTTAATTAATTCTAATTCTAACCAAATTAAATTTAAACTAACAATTAAATTAACTTAATTAAGAAAAATTAAATAATTAATTAACAAAATTGTAATTAATTAATAAATTTAATCTAATTCAACCAAATAAACATATACTTAACCTAATTAATAACTAATTTTAAATAAAATTAACTTAATTAATTAAAAAATAATTCGATTAAATTTAAATTACAATTGATTAATTGATTAACCTAACAATTAACCAAATTTAACAAATTAATCAACCAATTAACCTAACAATTAATAAAAAATAATAATTTAATAAATAAATCAACAAAACAATAATTTAATCTTTAATTAAGAAAATAAAAGAAAGAAAAATATATCTAATTCGGATGGAATTACACCAAGATGAGGGAAGAGAAAATAAAGGTTTTTGGGAAGAAAAAACTTGGAGTGGACGTGGATCGATTAATAGTAGAAGAATGGAGCTTGGTGGTGGTTTGGAGGGGGTGAGAGAATGGTGGCAATGGCTAGATTCGAAGAGGGAGAAGAAAATAGCGGAGGAGGAAGAAGAAAGGGGCTAAATTAGGACTAAAAAATAACAACGGACACGATCCTGTTGCTATTTAACGATGAATACTTAAGTTTGTCGCTAATCCATATCAAAAACATCGACCAATTTTGCACTCTTGACCGCATATTTTTTTACATATAGTGATGGAAGTAAGTTACGTTGCAATTTATCGGTGTCGGTCGCTAATCGGTTGCAAATTGGATAGTTTTTGTATTTCAAAAGGTCTCGCTCAATTTTTCCCAAATCTCCTCCCTAGCAACGAATTTTCCAATTTTTTATGCATAAATAATTTTTACAATAGAAAAACTTACAACTTAATCTTTAATATATAAGTCTCAAATCCATTTTTGGTATGTTTAAATACTTGTTTGATCTTAGTAAATTCGTTGACCCTCCCAAAATAAAATTTTAGCTCAAAGTTTTTATCTCTAAAATTTTGATGTCAACCAACAAGTTGTTGGTCCAGTGATAAATGAGTTGGTCCCTAAATGAATTTTTTATCAATTTGCAAGATTTGTATTCTAGAGTTATATTTATTGGAAGGGATTAAGCCTTGTCGTTTTCGTTTCGAATATGATTAGTTTTATCTTTAATGTGAAATCGAGATATTTGGGTCAAACTAAAATTTTTGAAGCCAAAACAAACCTGTTACATAAATGATCTATCTATAACCAAAAATAAAAATATGAACTTAATTTTGATATATAAAAACTGATATGAAATTATCTTTTATTGGATTGGATGTAAATTAAATATATATATATATATATATATATATATACACTATCCCATGGATCTCTTACCCTACCATGTGTGTTGATTTCGAAATCCATCTCCCTCTCATTTCTGTCATTTTCTTCTTCAGTTATTGGTCATTCATTCCTTGTCTTATAGAGACAAGGTACTGCTTCAAGAACAGACTTGTTGCTCAAATGTCCCTCATCACGTTAGACATATGGCATTTCAATTTAAAAAACCTGTGAAGTTATTGCCAACAATCGTTAGGTTTGGAGATTTATTAGACACTAAATTCATTCTCCAACCAAAACAAAATGCAGTAACTTTGAAGTCAGTACCAAGCTATGTATCAAAATTGTTATTTCTCAAATCAGTTGTTTTTTCAATCAAATTTTAACATCATCAGCAGTTGCATTAATACGTTTACGAGAATTTTAACATCAAGCTCAAAATCATTGGCAATTTTCTAGTTGGGGGTCAAGATGGCACAGATTCGCACCATAAACCATGCCACCTACCTTGAATCGTCTGTTAACGCAAACTAAAATTCAAGTTATATATTTTCCCCCACTTTCTTTATTTTTAAATGCTTCCCCATTCTTCCTCAACTACTCTTTGACATTTGAACAAAGCTAGTTTTACACCCAATTTTCTTTGGCCGGTGACCAAATAGTCAATGTAGTCTCGTCTCTTACCATATTTAAGTGGATACAAGTGGGAAGCACAGCAGAAGTGTTCACTGATATTTTTACGGATTTCAAGGTTGATGCCCCGTGACTTTGTTCAGAATTAGAAAAAAATCTAGTAAATGCCAAATCTATATATTCATTTAGATAGGCTTCAAACGTTGGAACTTGGAAGGTGCGTGAGCACCAGGAATTTTTGCATCAGCTCTTGTTGTAAAGTCTTGTCATCAAAACAGGATTTTCGTGCACAAGCACACCTTTAACTAGCTACCCAAGTGTTTAGCTTCTAACATGCTACTAGTCGATAAAACTGAAAGTCCTACATGTTACTGCAACGCCAAATTCTGTCCGTTGGCCAAACCAGTGGGTCATAGGATGTGTTAAAATTGAAAGGCTGAATTGGCAAATCAGACTCGACGTTTTCCTGATAGGTGTACCAGCTTTCAATACACAAACTACCAACTTTGACATGGTTGGACTTCGGTACAATGCCAGCTAATAAATATCGAAGAATTTCAATCCCTGAAAGAAACTAATGAGAATTTGAGATTCACTTTTTATCCTTAGCTTCAGAATATTAATGTAGATGCATGACATTTTCTGACCTCATCTCTCTGGGTGCCCATGCCCCATCATTGAGTTTTGCACCTTCCAAAAACAGCAGTTATTTCTTGTGCTGTAACTTGTGAACTTACTTATAAACTCCTTTTCCACAGCAGTGTACCGCACATGATCCACAAGTGTGATAAAGTTTGAAGGGAAAAAAATGAATGGTTACTCAAAGATTAGACAAGATAGCATCTCAAAATCAAGATCCGTAGATCTTTCAGAGCACTACTCACCACTCCCAACACCTAGTCTTGCATCGAACAGCAGCTCTGAAAGCAAAGAGACCAGAAAAATCCATGACGGAAAGTGCACTGCAATCAATGATTACCTTCCAGAGAAAGGACAAGAAGAGGAGGTTGGGGAGATATTTGGGGTGATTTTAAGCAGAAGCTGTTCTGCTTCTTCTCGTGGGCTAAAGGTTGAGAAACAAAATCCAGCCCCACTGGAGAATGCAGTCAGAAGGGCATTTTCTATGAGAAGATCATCTTCAGGTTTACAAGGGTATTGCCGGATCCATCACCAAAGTGATTTTATTGCCGATGAAGGTAAAGCAACTATAGTACCTGCAAGAAAAACCAAGAAAAAGAAAGGCAAGATCTTTAACGCTTGTAGGCTTCTCTTTGGACTCTAGTTTATTGGTTTCTATCATCTAGCAGTATCAATTTCTTACAATCTCATGTATGTCAAAGGTAACGGTCTAAAAACTTTGATTCAGACTTAGAGCTACCGCTCCTCTGTTGGTAGAGCCATGTAGCACCAAAAGCATCCAGATGGAATTTAGTACACATAATTAGTATGTTCTATTGTTTGAAAGATCAGTTACGCAGAATACTAATTTGTTTGCTTTTGTGTGAAACGTTGAACTGATAAAATTACATGGGCTTGAGATGCAGCAGACTTCTGCTACTGAAAATGTCTTCTTCCTTCCCTTTTTTTTTTTACCTACAAAGGTTTGCTTTAACAGCAAAAGAAGTATTCGAAAATTAAGGCCTTAGTCTATACAGTCATAAGTTCACTGGTGCAGACTAATCTTGATCTGAGGTCTTAGCAATTATGTGATCAAAGATTTTTTTTATCAAGTTCACGATCAGCACGTGTCATTAAATTGTAAAATAATATTTGTAGAATCATTTGATATAGATTTCCAGAGCCTAGTTTCTGGGATAAACGTTGGTTCTATTTCTCTCTCAGCTGTTCAAATTGGGCGATCTCACTACAAAATATTTCAAATTTGAGAAGCCAATATGCTCGTAGTTTGGCAATGTAGTTTTAAATTAGAAGCTGTTGGCAATGTAGTTTTAAATATAATTCATTGTGTTATATAAAGATTATTGTGCAACGATATTAAAACATTATGTTATCATTATTTTAATATTATAATAAATTACGATCAATAATGATGACCAATATGTTTTTCAATTATATTATCATTATTTAAAACTATGATTGACAAAACAATCACGATCACCCATGCACGGTTGCGATGTCTTAAACATTTTGATATTAATAAATTTATTTTAATTCATATATTTTAAAGAATTTTTACTAATTAAGTATAATAATAATAATAATATCTATGATAAATTAACATAAAAAAGATAACATTTTAATATTATACAAACAATAATAAAATACAAAGAATCACAAAATTTTGTAAATAATGATTATTATTCATCAAATAATAAATTTTTTAAATAACAATTGATACTCATCAAATAATAAAAAATAACGATATCATGCAATGATAAAACATCATTATACTTCCCATAATAGCATATAACCATAAAGAAGGCCGTATCCGTTCTATGATAGCCATACGTTATAGAACCGCCATTATCTAAAACTATAATTATGCTAACCAGCCATAACGCTCCAAGAACAGGAAAATTTTCTGACACACTCCAACTGCATTCATTCATTCCCAAACCAGTAACTTCGAATTCATTTCCAAATCAATAACTTCGATGCCATGGTAAAATTTGTGAGTAGAGAAGGCCTGACATGCATGATACTGCTTCCAATTCTAGTATTTCAACGACCACTATCCGGAGCAAACAAGGTTTAAAACCAAGTGCACGTCAAGTATCATAATTACATATTTCTCTACAAACTACGCCAATTGGCGCGTAACTTCTTGCCTAACTGACTAGGTATTCTAACTTCAATGGAGCAGTTCAACGTGCAGCTGATACACAAGTTGTAATTTATAAGGTGCTCTAAGAAATGCAAGTAGCTCGATTAGTTTCAGCATCGGGGGCTCCTGACCATCAAGGAGGGTAATGAAACAAAGGGATGCAAGAAAGGAAAAAAAAAAAAAAAAAGGAAGAAGATATTCCTTCTATAGTCTACCATCAAAATGAGTACATAGAACATCAAAAACTAAACCACAGAAATCACTCTTCTCACTCTTAACTCTTTGCAAAGAGAAAATATACCTATATATTCTATATCTATGCACATGCACATTCCATAACGAAAAGGATACAGATGAATTCCCAATGAATCACCTGCTCTCAGTGAATTCTGCGTCGATGACATCTCCATCATCCCTTTTCCCTGTTGACCTTGATGACCCAGACCCAGCCTCACTGCCGGGTGCAGGTCCAGCACCTGGAGAACCTGCCTGATCATAGAAGGATTGCCCCAGCTTCGTGACTTCTTGGCTGAGGACAGCCATTGCATCTTTAATGGCTTGGGTAACCCCACTCGAGATAGCATCCTTAAGCTCCTTCAGTTTAGCTTCCACTTTCTCCTTAACTGCAGCAGGTACTTTGTCTCCCAGCTCCTTCAGCTGCTTTTCTGTCTGGTAAACAGCAGAATCGGCCTGGTTCTTAGTGTCTACTGCATCCCTTTTTTCCTTGTCCTGCTTTGCAAATTTTTCTGCTTCTCTCACCATTTTCTCCACCTGCAATAACATATTACCAATCCAGAATATGGGGATCAGCGTGAACATTTTTTGCACTTTTATCTCTTAAATTTGGCAAAAAATTAGCTTAGGCTCCTTTTTTCAATCCTAATAACTAAACAGCAATTTCAAGTTTGTCCCCAATATCCAATCCAAAACCAGCAACCACTGTTAAAAACATTGTCATCATTCCTCTAACTAAACTCTGAAGACTATTCAACCATTATTTCTCATATTTGCTGCATACTTATATGTCATTAGTATATGTTCTCCAAATACATACCTCATCACTAGGCAGGGTGCTAGCACCCGTTATGGTGATGTCCTGCTTCTTTCCTGTTCCCTTGTCAACAGCCGTGACGGAAAGAATACCATTGGCATCAATATCAAATTTGACTTCGATCTGTGGAACTCCACGTGGTGCAGGAGGGATACCTTCCAGGCGGAAGCTTCCAAGGAATTTGTTATCCCTTACAAATTCTCTCTCACCCTGGTAGACATTTATCTCCACGGTTGTCTGTCCATCTGCAGCAGTGGAAAACACCTCTGACTTGGAGGTTGGTATAGTTGTGTTCCTTGGAATGATCTTGGTCATTACCGAACCCATAGTTTCTAGCCCTAGGGACAGTGGTGTCACATCCAGGAGGACAATGTCATCAACTTCTCCAGCTAGAACAGCAGCCTGGTCAGAGAGATCACTAATTTGAGTTTGACAGTACACTAACAGGTAAACTTGATTCAGCACCACCAGATATTGCAAAGCTAAAACAGCTAGCTTTGTTATGAAAAGCCAAAAATATAGTAATAAAAGTTTAGCAGCTACCACAACCAACCTGAACTGCAGCTCCAAGTGCTACAACTTCATCGGGATTGACTGTTACATTAGGTTGCTTTCCAGTCATTTTCCTCACAAGATCCTGAACTGCTGGGATACGTGTTGAACCGCCAACAAGGATCACTTGATCAATATCTTGGAGGGAAAGCTTCGTGTCCTTCAGTGCAGTTTGAACTGGACCTCTCAGCCTTAAAAGAATAGATTGCAGATATTACTACCGAGTTTAATATGGAGATAGGAAAGTCCAGCATTTGGTGGTTTCCACACCACCACCACCACCAACCCCCCCCACACACACACAAAAAAAAAAAAAAAGAGGAAAATATCACCTACCTGTCCAGCAGATCTGCACACAATTCTTCGAACTTAGTCTTTGTCAAAGTGACATTTATGTGTTTGGGGCCATCTGCAGTAGCTGTAATGAAAGGCAAACTGGAAAAACAGCAAGATTCACAAGTAAGCATAACAAAGTGAAATCCAGCAGTCAAAAGCAGGCATAAAATTTAGCCACGTGCCTAATATTGGTTTGAGACAAGGATGAGAGCTCTATCTTTGCTTTCTCAGCAGCCTCTATGAGACGTTGAAGAGCTTGTTTGTCTCTCAGAAGATCCACTCCTTCATCTCTCTTAAAGCTCTCAGCAAGCCAATCAACAATTCTCTATTTAGACAACAAGATCAAAATAAATAATCAGTAATGTTAATAATAAGAGAAATAACGAAATTGAGATCAATAACAACTAATTTAATTGGTCCTTACCTTGTCAAAATCATCACCTCCTAAATGTGTATCACCTGAAGTAGACAGGACCTCAAACACTCCATCTCCAACCTCAAGAACTTCAGGGGGAAAATATAACATTAAAGTTATTAGTGTGTGATACTAACTTCCATCATTTATTACGCATAATTATTGCTGCAAAGTATGTAAAGTCTGGCATAGCACTTTCAATTTCATTCATGCCATAGGATTTCAAGATTTCATATGAAGATTTTCATTGTAAGAAACACTCGGGCAGTCACTGTGCAAAAACAAGTGGCATAAATATTAGTAATTAAGGAAGCAATTTTGATACCTGAAACATCAAAAGTGCCACCACCAAGGTCAAATACAAGAATCGTTTCATTTTTCTTTCTGTCAAATCCATAAGCCAATGCGGCAGCAGTTGGTTCATTGATAATTCGAAGAGCTTCTAAACCAGCAATTTGAGCAGCATCTTTAGTTGCTGTCCTTTGTGAATCATTGAAGTAAGCTGGGACCGTTATCACAGCTTTAGAAACTCTATCATTTAAGAATTTCGATGCATCATCAGCAAGCTTTCTCAACACCTGGTTTATATAAATGAATCAAAATAGGATTGCTTGATATGAGATTACTTTTGAAGAATCCAAGAGAAAACTCCATGGTTATAATACTACAGAGCACATTCAGACAGTAAGGCAAAGTGCATATAACTAAAGTTCACTCGTATTGAGGGCCAAAAGCTAAGTCGTGCAAATTTATTTAACAGGTTGGCCTAGACTTGGTCTGTCCATTAACGACTAACCTCAAATCCGCTAAAATGTGCTGCATTGAGCTCAAGCTAGACTAACTAACAGGTGTTTAACAAACACATTAAACAAGCAAAATGATACCATCCAGTCACGGGCAAATATTTTAGAAAAATCTCTTATCCCCTCGATTTCACTCATCTCTTTTTTTGCATATGGTAAATTTTGCTCAATTCCAGACTGTGATAAATACTATAGACATTTATGTTATAGCAAAATAACGGGCAACAACAAAAACTTTTAGGACTTGATACATACCCTTTCATATTTTCAGACTATTAATTAAGAAATTTTACTGAACTGCATGGTTTTTCAAACAGCCATTTAGTTGATAGCTTCTAAAATTGTTCAGCTTTCAGCAATATCTAGTCTATGCAGTTAGAATTGCTCTAGAGTTTGTGAAATTTACATTTCGCAAAAAAAGTAGAAGCAATGATCAAAAGAAAGATGCCACCATACCAGAGCAGAAATTTCCTCAGGAGCGAACCGTTTTCCAAGAGCAGGACACTCAAGTTTGACATTTCCATTTTCATCTCTAAAAACCTTGTAAGAAACCTGCTTAGCTTCCTCTTCAACTTCTTTATACTTCCTCCCTATAAACCTTTTCACAGAAAAATAAGTATTCTCCGGATTTATCACAGCCTGCCTCTTCCCTATCTGGCCCACAAGCGTATCTCCACTCTTCGCGAACGCCACCACCGATGGTGTCGTCCTCTGCCCCTCCACGTTTGGTATTATCGTTGGCTTCCCACCCTCGTTCACAGCTACAGCTGAATTTGTGGTGCCCAGGTCAATACCAACGACTTTCTCGCACTTGATCACTCTTAAAGGTTCTAACCTTGAAACCCTTTTGGGTTTGAAGATTGGTGAAGGAGAAGGTTTAGTGTGAGACAAGAAAGAGAGCTGTTTCCATTGGTGGAGGTGGTGGCAGGTTTTTGCGGTTTTAAGTTTGGTAAAACGAGGTTGTGTTGTTGTTGATGATGTTGAAAAAGAACATGCCATCTTTTTTCTTCTTCTTGCTTTTGTTGCTATAATGTTGCTTTAGAGTTGATGATGACGGACAAGGGAGGTTGTTCATGCCAAGTAGTGAGAGAGTTTACGAGAAGAGACAGGAGAGGGAGACAGAGAGAGCAATGTGGATTCTTCTAGTGCTCTTTAAAACATGTTCGAGAAGGTGGGGGGAGATTAGAAAAATCATTCCACTAGTGCTCAGCAACCTTGGTTTTGACAAATGTCCATGGGAAATCCCAACAATAATTGAAGATTTCTCTGTTCTTAAACCCAATGATAAAAAAAAAAAAAAAAAAAACACTACTAAGCATATTAAGCATAAATTGGCTTAAATAAATTACTTGAATGTAATTACAATTATTATTCAATCAATCCATCAATCAAACAAATAAATAAAGAAAAGTGGTTATTATTATAATGAATCTTGTCATCGTGTCTTGTATGCTTCTTCTGTGTCAAACAAATATTTATAATTAAAATTTATTTGATAAAATAACTATTTAAATACAATTCTTAAAAAAATATGAATAAAAAATATTAATATAATATAATAATTAATAAGTTTTTTAATTTATGTAAAAAATTAAATAAAACGATCACTTTCGAACATAGAAAGGATTTAATAACATCTTTAAGCTCTCTCATGCAGTAAGTGTTCCTTTAATTTGAGCTTTACAGAAAAATATTCTTAAGCTAACAGAAGTCTCATGAAAAAGAAAGCCAGTAGAAATGTGATGGGATTGGTGGTTCGGATAATCAGGATCTTTATCTATCCATCCATCAAACTACCAACTCAAACAAATAGTATGGGCATAGAAATATTTTCAAATTAACTTTTATATTAAATATTTTTTAATTGTAGTTTTGGTAAGGAAAAAAAAACGATATTATTTTATAAGAATGTTTGATAATATATAGCATTAAAATGCTTTTATATTTAATATTGAACATAAGTTTTAAGAGATTTTAATATTATTTTTTTATTTTTAGATTATTTCATATTTAAAAACTCAGATTAATTTTTCATTTTTTTGGTTTAACGTATAAGACAAATCTTTCGTTGTTTGGTTTGACACATAAAATGAACATAGTTACCAAATAAGTTTTTTACATATATAAAAATTTAAAACCGAAACTACTTATTTAAACGATTAAAATCTTTTTTACTCAAGATACATTTCTTAGATAGAGATTTTAATATTTTAGTAAATATAAAAACACTTTTTTCTTTAATATTTGGGGAAAAGCCAAAATCAAAATTAGGAATTCTCATGCTAACTTTTATAATTTTTGTCATGATTAAACTTTGGGAGTATGGAATTTAATGAGGTTTCAATAATAGATGCATGATATTAATGCCCATCAAATCTTTTGGGGTATCATTTTTTTCCCTCATGGGACAATTATTATTTTGTTCTCAACTTGCTGTAATTGCATAGCCATATTATTTCCTCAAGATTTTTTTGCCTAATTGAGTTTACATCTCACATAATTACCCCTATAAATTCCACATTAAAAAATATTTTTGATATAAAATAACTAATTAAAAAACATAATTACAGCTAAAAACCTAAAAAATAGTCATAACACTAAAATTTTTTATTTTTTTATTTATTTTTCAAACTGTTAGTACAATTGTATTTAGTGGCGCGTGAAAAAATAATTAAAATGAAATATTAATGGAATAAAATTTGAAATCGAAGTATTAATAACGTAAAAAGTGTTAGTTGAAATGTTAACTATGTTTAGAAGTAGTTTGAAACGATCATGGATAATAACAAGTTCTAATATAAGTCAAGCGAATTTTTTTAATTAAATATAATTATAAAAAATAAGGAATGTATATTTATAATACAAAATAAGAAAGGAATGAAAAAAGTACAAATAAATTAGTGTGAAATTAAAAAAAAAAGGAGTAATCGAGAGACTAAAAAACCCAAAATTTCCTTTTTGAAAAATCTCTTTATCCCTATCTTTAGAATGTTTTCGGGGTAAAATGCCAACCACTTCAAAAAATTCCCATCCCTAAAATTATATCTAAGTAAATGAAGTGAAATCTATAAATAATTGAAAAAAAAAGTTGAAAAAGTTAAAAAAATGTAACTTTTTTCTTAATCTTTCCATACCAAACAAATCCCAACTTCCTATCATAAAATAATAATAAAAAAACCTAACTTCTGAATAAAAAGTTAATAAATATTTTGGATTTAAATGTCAAAAGGCACTCATTATGCATTGTAAGTCAAAAGTTTTTGCAATATTCAAAGCCAGAATATTTACAATTTTGTCTTATGCATGAAAAACAAAATGGATCATCATCATCATCAATAATAATAATAATAATGTATTAATTGCCTAACTCTCACATTAAATACTTGTGAGCAAGTGTCTCTCAACATTTCTTAGCTAATCTCATTAGTGAAATGAAGGAGTCTTTTTTAGAATAATGAAAAAAAAAATTTAAAGTTATAAAAAAAGCAAATTGACAAATACTAAGAATTTATTTTAAATATTATTTTTTATCGAGAAAAATTTCTTTAATTACTACTAGCTGGATCCATTTTTGGATGTGCTAATTAAAAAAAAAAAAAAACAAACAGTGACAGCAAACAAACAAAAGAAACAAAGAAAAAGAAATGAAAGGGAAGTGCATGATAAATACTTCTTCCTCTAAAAGAAGCATGCTCTGCAATTGGTTTAAATCTTAAATAAGCTTAGGCCTGAGAGAACAGTCTGTCTGTCTTGATTTGTCATGTTTGAAACTGTGCAAGAAATTGCTGTTTACATTCATAGATTTCACAACCTCGACCTTTTCCAACAAGGGTAACAATGCTCTCTCAACATTTCTTGTCATTCATGTTTCTGTAATTCTTTTTCATTTTTTTTTTTAAGAAAAAACCCTTTTCTGGATTTCCTTTTTTGGGGTGTTTAGATGGTATCAAATAAAGATCAGCATGAGATGGGAAGATAGTGAGTATACTTCTTTAGCAACCCCTGCAAGGGTTGTTCAATATGAAGGTAAAGCTCATTCAACTATTCATGCTATTATTTTCTTGTTTTTCTTTGTTTCTGTTTCTGGGTTTTCCTCCTATTTATAAAAAAGTTTGCTTCTCGTAAAAAAGGTCTGGAATTTTGCTACATTTCTTGTTAATTAACTACCTTCTTATGCTCAATATAAACCTCAATAAACTCATAATTTCCATGTTTTTGTTTGTTTTTGTTTCTGGGTTTTCCCCCATATTTGTAGAATATGCCCTTAAAGGAAAAAGGTGTGAACTTTTGCTATATTGCTTGTTAATTAACCACAATTCTCTTTCACATTGTATTTAGAAAACGTTTGTGTATTTGTACAAATTTAGTAACTTTGAAAAGGAGCAGCTTAGGATGTCTATTTAACAATCAGTTGTTTTCATGTTTGATATGCTTGGGTGTTGTTATTGTTCATGCTTAGAGATGCAATTAGCTTCAGTTGAATGATTTAGGATTTTGTGAGTTTTTTCTATGCTCAATGTTTATGGATGAGCTAAGAACGAAATGATATTTATCTGAGCTACAGCTCCTGATCTGGGTGGTGAAAACATTTACGGGATATGGAGGATTGATGATACAGACAATAGTTTCTTGACACAGCCTTTTCGGATTAAATATGCAAGGCAAGATATTCGTTTATCTATCATGATCTCGTTCACTCTACCTCTCGGTGAAAATGAGGTAATCTGTACTGCTTTCTCTATCTCTCTCTCTCTCCCTCTCTGAGTGTGCGCCTGCACGCACCTGATGCATTAAGCTGCCTTTTTAACTTTTGTAGTTATAATTAGAGGGGAAAATGCGGCAGAAGGTTGCCTAACTGAGCTCAAGTAAAGTGAAACCAAATTGAATAGAGAAACAAACAGCTCTAGGAAACAAGATTTACTAGGATATAACAGAATGTAGCATCTCTGTGTATGGTCTGCTTAGTGTTCTAATACCTCCTGTCATGGTTGGTATATATAGCTAGTCTGTGTCCAATATGCAGAGGCCTGGTGAAAAAGAGAACTCTACCTGTGAAAGTTTCTTCTATGTACATATCAAAACTCCACCACCTACTTATGATATTGCATCATTGCATTCATGATGACATCAGAAAGAATTGTGAATATTGTATTTCTCAAAACTAACTAGATTGAGGAACTGCTTTTGAAAAACTTTCAACTCTAGCTTTTCCTGAAAAAAGGTGAAAAACATTATTCCCTTCTATTCTTCAAAGCAACACCACTCCTTCAATCTGGGATTTAACGGGAATACTGCTAATATCTTTACTGCATATGTTTATCACAATTTTGTGTGCTGTACCTGCCAGCTCAGAATTTACCGATGCTGATGTTTATGGTCTTCAAGCTGATATGGTGTGTACAATTTGCAGGGTCCATCCACCTCTGCAGTTATTTTGAAATTTGAGCTTATGCAAGCTCCCATAACAGAGAGCACGTGAGTTGAGGGAACTTGTTATTTGATTCTTGCAGTTAAAATGATTTGTTGTTTTTTCTTACCCACTCAATGTTTTTGGATTAAATTTGGATATTGTACTGATGGATATGCACACTGTGCAGGTTTGAGCTCCTGGCTTATCCGAATGCTTCTTCTGTTTCAGTCCATGAATTTCGAATTCCTCCTAAAGCTCTTCTAGGATTGCATTCGTATTGCCCTGTCCACTTTGATGCATTTCATTATGTGCTAGTTGATGTAACCGTGCACATCAGTCTAATGAAAGCTGGTTCTTTCATGAAGGTACCCAGGTCTGTCACACTTCTGGCATCTAATTAAGCAGTCATGATCACACTTTGGCACTGGTTGCCTAATTTGACTTGATGAGTTGTATCTTGCAGTGGGTCTTATGGTCAAGACGTTGCTGGCAAAATTACTGATGGGTTCAGCCAAGTATGCTCTTACACAATGGATAATATTTTACATGGGTTTATCCATTCTGCTTAACTTTGTTCATTCATGCATCATCTTGTTGCTTAAATTGCCAGATTTTGCTTTAGGCACATCTGACTTATGATGACAGTATTTACTTGCCACAACACTCTTGTGCAAGTGTCTGTATATTTGAGTGAATACATTTCTTTTGTTCGTACATGCATGAGCATATGTGCACCGTTTCTGCAAAACTTGCAGTTTACTCTAGCCTGGGTTTTGTGCTACTAATTAGCACTGGTGTGCTGTCTGCACAAGCAGTGGGTTGAGTAGGTTGACTGTGACAACTTCCTTTTCAACTTTGTAGTACAGCTTTCCATCACTCAAGTTTTTTGTTTCAAAAATACTATAAGGAGCTCTGAAAATTGCTTCATTAATGAAAATTTGTTAGAATAACTTCATAACCCTTTATCTACCATTGACAAACCTGATTTTTAAGCTTTCTTCGACTCCTTTTCCAAAGGTATCCAGAAATTGCATTTTGTGAAATACTTTGGATCTTTCTACAAGTTCATTCCTTCCTAAGTGCTAAAAGAAGGAAACATTGAGATTCACCCAAATAAGAAACTACCCCTAGAAACTAGGGATGCTCAATGGATGTTTGAAGGATAAGTAACCATTATGTGACTTGTAAGCATATAACACATGTTTTCCTTTTTGGTTTTGTCCTTTTTCTGCAAAAGATGGTTGATGAAAAAAATTGTAAAACTAAAACTCCTGATTTAAAGAAAATATAGCTTAAGAAAGGTAAAAGCTCCATGTGGTTGAAGGCCAAAGGTTTGAAGATGCAATGGCATTTTAGATTTGAGACATGCTGTTTTCAAGTATGGAGGAGGCTGTACTTTAACTTTATTCAGCTTTTGTGATATTTCCATGAATTGAAATTTTAATTTTGTGATTGACCAGGCATTGGGTCAAGTGGCCTATTTAGATACCAAAAAGATCATGCTTGTTAAAGCATTGTTAACTTCCCGCAACACATTGCTTGAAGAGCTACAAAAAATTAGCAAAGGCATCGAACATGCTATTGATTTATCTGATTTTGCCTGCAATACGGATGATATGAGGATGTTTGATTCTATAGTGCAAGAAAATCTGGGTACTGCAGACGGTGAAGTGTCAGGAAAAAGAAAGCCACAGAATGGTCTTGAGGTCCTTCCTATAACATGTATAGTTAACAAATTTTGATTTTACATTCAGTTTGAGTGCTTTCTTATTTACTTAATATTTTTGTCTCTTCTTGGAAAGAAAGCAAACGGCACTGCAGCTTTTCAAAGTGATAACATTTCTTCAAAGGCTGCTATTGCGAACATTTTGCATTCATTGGGAGTTCAATTATCGTATTTATGGAGCATTTTTCTGCAGTTTCACAGGTTTGCTTTTCCACCAAATTGACACATTCAGTTAGAATGTTCTACATTTCCTTTTACAAGGTTAGAAATATGATTCATTTAGCAAGTTTGGCTGCGACCTTTCATTTAGGTACATCACCATTGACCGTAGCTATTTAACCAAAAAAAAGTACTTCATCTCCTGCATTTTCTTAAATGCTTATATACTAAGAGGACAATTTGCTTAATTGAAGAACAATAAGGACACCAATTTTTTGGCATGCTTCTAAAATGGATCATATACTCTGGTGATGGAGTTTGTGAAATTTATGATGGACAAGCTTGTAACTACTGTTATTCTCACCATCATGATAATGCTCATTTTAGTGACTCAACTTAAAATGATGATGCAAAATATTAGTTACTAAGTTAGCAATGTTGGATTCACCTACCTGTGGAATGTGTTTGCAATTGCTATAAGTTCATGCACTGGACTACATTTAGCTGGAAATACTTTCTATGTTTGTTTTGCATGTCCTCGTGTTTAAAATAGTTGGCATACTCATGGAAGAAAATGAAAATAAATTTTGGTAAACTGGTATTGTTAATTTGTTACAACTATTTAATGCTATTTATGTTTGGAATTGTTTTTTTTTTTATTTGTCTTTGAATAGTTTAGTCACACGATATGAGGGTTGGCCAAGCACATGCTTAGCAGAATATGATCACTTAATTTACTTGGCTCGTGTATAATTTTAACTTTTAAGGTTTCTTTCTGGTGGGACAGACTAAAACATTTTGAAAAGGGTGGCTGCGGGTCCATTTTCTCTTCTCTTCCTCTCTCTCATCTTTTGTTCCCTCTTGGATCTATCTTCTCCCCACCAACCCGCATCTCCATTTTCTTTTTGCTGGAAGTCTTCCCTCTAGCCAGTCAAATGAGTATTCCTGCAAAGAATTTCAATGTGACCAGAAAAGGCAACAATGAACGACTTTCATCTTGGCAATTGTTGGAAAATGATCTTTTCTTTCATGCTGTTAAAATTTTTTTCATGGCATCCATTTTAGGTTGTTTTCTGTAACTGTCATGAAATCTCAAGGTCAAACTTTGGAATTTTGAAAATCTAAGCCTAAAATTTAAGCAGATGCAATTCTCAGGGAAATTTTCATAAATTCTCCTAGAAGTTTTATGAATGCTGTCCTCCTTAAGGTCTTTTTTGTAACTGAGATGGAACCTCAGGGTGCAAACTGCAAACAGGGGGTTTCTTAAATTAAGACCCAACATGTGACCAGGCAAACTGCAGGATTTCCCTTTGCATGTTTTCTTAGATTTATGATAACCTATCTGCCATCCTTTGCAATGGATCTGAATGATGCTTATTGTTGATTGCATTTAGTAAAATGTGAGTTGATACAGATAAAATAACTTTTTCTGCACCTGTTTAACTACCGGCCTTTTTTGCTTCATTCCAGGGCAAACAAAATAACAATACTGGAGTTTCTGCATGATGTGTGGGCTAAAGATCGACGAGCAGAATGGTCGATATGGATGGTGTACTCTAAGGTTGAGATGCCTCATCAGTACATAAGCAGTGGAATTGATGATTCCTCCCATCATGGCCACAGAAGATCTTCGAGCTTGTTGAATGTAAATGTTTTTATATTCTACCCCATTCTGTGTTTTTTCTCATCTATAGACTATTAGTCTTTTTTTGGACTTCCATTGATAAACACCATCATGTTCTTCATTCCATAGTCTCCAAGTTGCAATTTTTGTTCTGTTCTATACAGCCTGCCCAGAGTGCAGCTACACGTGCTGACCTTCATAGGCGAAGTATTGCCCAAATGAGGGTGAGAATTACTCCCACTTTTGACTGATTTGTTGCCTTCAACTTTTAGTCTGGAGTTATACAGGGGTAGTATTGTTTTCATGCAGATTAATAATCGATCAATCCAAGACATGTATATATTTGCGGATCTGCTACGAATTCCGATTATAATTTTGGAACGTGTAACTAATGCACCACGGCGTACTCTTAGTGAAAATTCGTACTTCAGAAATTTGGACCTGGTAGATCCACATAGCTTGCACAGTAGACCTGGCACTGAAGTTGAAGCTGAAGCTGGTAAGAAGGAATCTGGTGCTGTGCTGCCAAAAAATGGTCGTGAATTGAAGGCTGTCATCTTTGTGCATGGATTTCAGGCAAGGCTCGCTCTTTGTTCCCCCCCCCCCCCCCCCCCCCCCCCCAACACACACGCGCTCATGCGTAGCTGGCTGTTTGATAATTCAATGTACAGACTTGTGCTTTAATTGATTTTACACCATTTACCTAAAAATTGAGAATCTGTTTTTATCACTTGCTGATTGAATTTTGTTCTTATAATTGCTACACCTAAGGTGCTGATAATGAATTAGTTTAATGCATTGCATCTTACACTTTCAAATTGTTTCTGCAGAATGAATTTCTATAATTTGTTGTTTATCAGGTATTTGACCAAATTTTGAAAAAGAAAGTTCTGATGTTGGTATAATACAGGTGATAAACAGGATCCACTTGTTATGTAATTTTGTTTGTGTCTTCATGTCAAATCTTCCTTTCTTGGTACAGTTGATGTTTTTTTTTTTTTTTTTTTTTTTTTTTTGCACTAGAAAAAGTGCCTTTGAAATGGCCCTTGGTCAATTGAGTTTTTATCTGAAGCAAATATTTGAATGTCCAAAACTTAGTGCTTCTTACTTTTATTTTTAATGGTTGACCTTGATAATCAAGCAATGGCTTGCCATCCATCATCTGAAAGTTTAAATTCAGTCTGGGATAGTTTAAAATTTTGGTTCACTTCTTCCCTCCAGATAGTTGGGAACTATGTGTAAATATTTAGGTTTTGAATGACCTAATTTTATTATATACACAAAGAGTCCTAAACATCAGGACATGTTTCCTACTTTAAGGAGAAGATCTTGCCTAATCTATTCTAAATAGGAAACGATATACAGCTAATTACACACTGATTTACAGCCTAATTCATAGCTAATTTATAGCAAAGAATCCCAACACGCCCTCTCAAGCTGGGTTGTAAACATTTATCATACCTAGCTTGCAACTAAGATCTTCAAAATGTGCCCTTGGAAGTGCTTTGGTTAGGATATCGGTGGTTTGCAGATTAGAAGGAATATAAGTAGGCTTGATTACTTTCCCTTCTATCTTTTCTCTGATAAAATGCCGATCTATTTCCACATGCTCATGGCTGGATTTTTAGCAATACTGATGGCAAATTGATTTCCACAAAGTAGCTGTATTGATCCCTTAGAAGGTATCTTCAATTTAGGTGATACTCTTTTCACCTGGATTCCTTCACAAATACCATGAGCTATTGATCGAAATTTTGCTTAAGCACTACTCCTAGCTACTATAGCTTGCTTTTTACTCCTCCATGTTGTCAAATTTCCCCAAACATAGGTACAATATCTAGAAGTGAATCGTCTATCTGTGATTGAGTTTGCCCAATCTGCATCAGAATGCAATTCCACTTCTCTACTTGAGTTCTTTCTGAATAATAGTCCCATGCTTGGAATCATTTTCAAGTATCTTAAGACCGTGTACACTGCTGTTGTGTTCTTCAGTAGGGTTGTTCATGAACTGGCTAACAACGCTTATTGAGAATGCTATGTCTTGCCTAGTATGTGATAGATATATCAACTTCCCTATGAGTCTTTGATATCTTCCGTTATCTATAAGAGCACTGTCCTTATCAGACCCAAGTTTGGTGGTGTAGTCTATAGGTGTCTTCGCAGTTTTACACCCAAACATACCAATTTCTTTTAGAAGATCTAGTACATACTTCCTTTGAGAGATTGCAATGCCTTGCTTAGATCTAGCCACTTTAATTCCCAAAAAGTATGTGAGTTTACCTAGGTCCTTGATCTCAAAATTTCTATTTCGAAATTCTTTGACTCTTGAAATCTCCTGAGCATAATCCCCTTTTAGAACAATGTCATCAACATAGACAATCAACACAGAAATCAATTCTTCTAAAGAACGTTTTACAAACATTGTAAACTCAGATTGTCCCTATATATACCCATTACTCTTCATAACTCTAGTAAATCTCTCAAACCAAGCTATGAGTGATTGTTTGAGACCATAATGTGACTTCTTTAGTTGACAAACTTTGCTGATGTTTGATGAGTTCTGTAGTCCTTGAGGAATGTCCATATAGACCTCCTCTTCTAGATTCCCATTTAAGAATGCATTCTTGACATCTAGTTGATGAAGGGGCCGATCCAAATTTGATGCAAGAGAGAGGAGTGTTCAAATGGTGTTGAGTTTTGCTACTGGAGCAAAGGTCTCCTCATAATCTAGGCCATAGGATTGAATAAATCCCTTAGCTACCAACAGAGCTTTGTATCTTTCAATACTACCATCTGCTTTTGTTTTTACATTGAAGATCCAGTTGCGTCCAATCACATTCTTTCCTTGAGGCAAATCAATAATCTCCCTCGTACCATTCTTCACTAGAGCATAACTTCTTCATTGAGTGTTTTCTTCCATTTCGGGATAGCCATGGCTTGTATTGAGTTTGGAATGGATATAGAATTGATTTTACTAGTGAATGCTTGGTAAGATGAAGATAGTCCATCATAGTTCACATGGTTCCCAATAGGGTACAATGGCCTATTCTGCATTCTCTCACTCCTTTCCTGAGTGCAATGGGTAGATTCTCATTGAAATTACCAAGATCACTTGAACTATAACCTGCAAAATTTTCCTCCACAATTTGTAAATCAGATGTAGAGATATTTACCTCAAGTTCAGATGCTGGCAGTAGCTGTAAATCTGCTAGAGTCTCTGTTTCCTTCGGCTTTTCCTTTTTTCTGCGATAGACAATTATCTTGGGAGATGTAGAATCATTTGGTTGCAGTTCAGGTTCAAATTGGACATTTGGAGATGGGGTAGAAGCACGTTCAGGTGGATTGGGTGCATTTGCAGTTTCGGGTGTTTCTGGTGTGCAAACTATGATCTCCAAGAAAAATTGATATTCTTGTGGTTGACTCTGACTAGAATTCTCCACCTGAATATTAGTTTTGGGGTAATAGGGTTTTGTTTCAAAACATATGGCATCCATGGTGTGATAAAACTTTTGGTTGTTAGGATAGAAGCATTTGTAACTCTTTTGGTTGGGAGAGTACCCTACAAAGATACATTTGGTGGATCGGGAGTCAAGCGTGGTTCGATGTCATTGATGGATATGCCCAAACACAGTACATCCAAATATTTTTAGAAGAAGAGTGGAAATTAGGAGACTTTGAGGAAAGTGTTGAAAATATACTTTATTTGGAGTGGAAAAATCTAGTATTTTTTATGGAAGTCGATTGATTAGGTATGCTGCAGTAAGTACAGCCTCACCCAAAAAACGTTTTGGAACATTGGATGAAAACAATGGAGACCTGGCAATGTCCAGAAGGTGTCTATTCTTTCTCTCGGCTATCCCATTTTGCTAAGGGGTATCTACATAGGAACTTTGGTGTATGATTCCCTCAGTTGATAGATATGAGCCAAGATTGGAATTAAAAAATTCCCTTCCATTATTAGTTCTAAGTATTTGAATGAAAGTTTGAAATTGATTTTTAATCATTGTGTAGAAATTCTTAAATATTTGAGGAACATCTGATTTATTTTTCATTAGAAAAATTCATGAGTCGTGTGTGATCATCTATGAAAGAGATGAACCACCAGGCCCTTGTGACATTTGGAACTTGAGATGGGCCCCAAACATCACTATGGATTATAGAAAAAAGTTTTGATGCTTTGTATGCTGTGTAATTAGCTAATTGCACACTGATTTACAGCCTAATTCATAGCTAATTTATAGCAAAGAATCCCAACGCTATGGGATGGAAATTCTTCTTGTAGATTGAAATTTAGAAATAGATGAGCTTTTTTCCATAAGGATTTAGATCTTTTACCATGAATTTATTGGTTTATGGTTTCATGCCCATATTTATAAGCCTCTGAACCTAAAAACTAAGCTGTTCTTGAAGGGAATTGCGCCTTATTCAGATTTTGGGTTATAAATTTTATGTTATTTTGTTCAAGCTCTTTGCAATCGATTGTTCTGCTGTTCTGGCCAATCTGTAATGAAGTCTATTCTATTCCTCCTGTGAACTGTATTGTAGTTTTAAGCATAAATTGGCTTGATTTTGTTTGTCATGCCTACAACACATTAGGGACACCATCTGGATTTACGGCTTGTTCGCAATCAGTGGCTTTTGATAGACCCCAAGATGGAGTTCCTTATGTCAGAGGCAAATGAAGACAAAACATCTGGAGACTTCAGAGAAATGGGACTAAGGCTGGCACAGGAAGTGATCTCTTTCCTTAAAAAGAAAATGGATAAAGTTTCAAGATGTGGTTTGTTAAGGGACATCAAGCTTAGCTTTGTTGGGCATTCTATTGGGAATATCATCATAAGAACTGCATTAACAGGTAATATAATAAATGCAATGCAATGCCATACTTTCTATTAGTCTGTAATTTGACGCTTGTTCTGTATTTGTGTTTCCACAGAGAGCATAATGGAACCATACCTAAGATTCCTTCACACATATATTTCTGTATCTGGTCCACATTTGGGTTATCTTTACAGCTCAAACTCTTTGTTTAACTCTGGGATGTGGCTTTTGAAAAAACTTAAGGGAACGCAGTGCATTCATCAGCTTACATTCACAGATGATTCAAATCTCCAAAATACTTTCTTGTACAAACTCTGTGAGGTACTAAGAATCCTGTTTTGTTTCTTTATTTGATTTTACAGGGAGATTATGCTATAGAACGAATAAGAAAAAGAACTGATGATTAGGATCTGAAAAATAACAACTTGCATTTCTTCAAGTAGCCTGTGAGTGTGAAATCAAAGCAGATGCTAACTTCTACTTCTCGACTGAGTTTGAAAACTGTTTATTTTCTTCTTTCAGCAGAGGACGTTGGAGAATTTCCAGAATATAGTACTGCTATCTTCACCCCAGGTATGTCATGCTATGCCTAAAAAAAAATTTACATCTTGAAGCTTTACAATTGTTTAGTCATTTCTCCAGTTTGCTAACAAGTTCTAGTGGTACCTATGATCTATTTGACTAGCCTGTTCAAATTTGAGCAATTTGCAGGTTTTGTAGGTGATATCGCATCTTTAATCTTGATAAGTATTATGGGACAATAGGTACATGATACATAAATGTTGTTATACTAAAATCTGTGTACAGTAGAGATCTATTTACTGGTCAACTGGAATAAGGGTTCCATGGAATGACCTTCTTTTGCAGTGTGAGGGGCTTAATGTATGCTTGAGAATGAAGGAAATGAAAAGACTAAAAGATGCATTGGATACTTATTCTAAGGCGTTTTAAATAACAATGAAAGCACATATTTGACTTGTGTTAAAGGAAATGAACAAACAAGCTTCATGTGAAGAATTCTTAGGCCTGGTTTGGTTTGCCAAGAATCGGGAGCGAAATGAGTTCCAATTTCAAATGGCATTTAATTTTATTTGAAATTACACTTAAATGTAACAGAGTCTTAGTACTACCAAAAGGGAGTAATTTATTCCACTTCAGTAAAATATGACGTCTTGTAGAATTTCAATATTTGTTATTTGCGAAACCAACAGCATTGAACAAGGAAAGGAAAGGTTTTATTCCATTTCCAACTCTACATGGCCCAAACATGCCTTTCGACAGGCTTTTTCTTGAAATAATACTGCTATCTGAGTCATAGGTTCAAATTTCAGTCTTCATTAAGTTTGCCTCTGCATTTAAAATGTTATCTACAGTATTTGTTACTTCAAATATACCTTGAAACTCCATTTTGTGTGACATCAATTGAACATATGGTAATTGTGAAGAAAGTTATGTAAGTTATGTCATTCTACTCATTTGCTCACTAGTTTCTTACAATTTTGTCAGGATGGTTATGTACCATATCATTCTGCCAGAATTGAACTGTGCCCGGCAGCTTCCTTGGACCACTCAAAAAAGGGTCGAGTGTTCCTTCAGATGCTGAATAATTGCATGGATCAGTTACGAGCCCCAACATCTGAGCATCGACTGTTCATGCGCTGTGATGTAAACTTCGATACTTCCGCCTACGGCAGGAATTTGAACACAATCATTGGGCGGGCTGCTCACATTGAGTTTTTGGAGACTGATGTTTTTGCAAAGTTCATAATGTGGTCTTTCCAGGAACTATTCCGTTAATTGGCATGAGAAACTGAAGTCTTCTCCACTTCAGCTTTTGCTAGCCAGTCTTTGGCTGGCAGTTGCACCTTTATTTCCAGGAAACAGGAACGAACAAGTGGCCAGGTGTTGGAGATGCGATGTCCGAGAAAAGGCAGTCATATTATTTTATCTGGGCTGGGCAGATACCAAATTTGTTGGTTGCTGTGAATACGCTTGAGGCTAATTCCACTTGAAGAAAGGCATAATATATAAATATTGTTTCTGCCACAAGCCAGCAGACCCACAATATTTTGTGCACCATTCAAGATGTGACGGATCGTGGTTTAGATTTCAAGCTGCACAAAGTTTACCAGGAAACTTACACTGAAGTTTTGAAGAACAATAGTGTAATTATTGTCCTAGGTTAAACCAAGTTAGTTGGATAATGTAAGTACTTATTTTCTTGGTTAGATAGATCCTAAGTACATATGCTTGTGCATTTATGGTCAAGGAAATAGGGTTGGATGCTGGGTATATTTTGGATACAGTTATAGTTTTTTTCTTGCAACTTGTTTTATTACTTACTGTTAAATATTTTTCCATGTCAATTTGAGTCTAACTCATCTCTAGGAGACAACAAAAATTAAAATTTGGAGATGGCATGCTCCCTTTTTCCAAGGCCCACTTGCCACTTCCAGCTCTCTCTTTGGAGGCATCTAAGAGCGTAAAAATGAATAATGCATCAAATCGTTATCGCGTTCTACAATCTCGGCTGTTTCAGGTTCCCTAATCTGAACCCCAAATGAGTAGTGGATTAGAAGTTGGTTCAAAACTAGACCGATCTCTGCCAAGCTTTACTAATGACCAATGTTGATACCAAACATGCCCTCAAACCAAGCAAAACCGTTACCTCAATCAGTAGAATCAAATCAGAAAATAGATTTTCCCGAAAGACAGTTAAGATTTTGCAATTCTGTCTCCTGTTTATGGGATTATATCTGGAAGAATTGGTGTGAATGACAAGATCCATATGTTTTTACAAAATTAACAGAAAAACGAATTGATTTTTAGGAAAGGCAAAGTTTATTAGATTTTTGAAGTGTTTGTAAATGTTGGTTTACTTTCCTAAATGTTATTTCAGTTTCGGATCAAGAGGGAGGCTATAAAAAGGAAATTTTATCTTATGAATGCAACAGATAAATAAAGAATTTAATCTACGAAAAAGTTGGGTTAAAAATATCATGATTATAACAATAGCATGGTCAAATCCAATCAAATTCAGAAATTAATGATCTCTTCAAATGGAATTTAATTAAAGATTTTTTTTTTCAAACAAATTTATTAATTGAGGTTTTGGATAATGTACTCATTTATCTGGTCTACGTGTAAGTGACATGACATGTAATGACAAAGTTCTCCCAATGGTACGAGGAGACCGGTTCATAAGATATGTCAGTGAACAGCGAAAATCTCGTTTTGAAGGAAGTTTGCGACTAACTAGGTTTCTATTCTAGTATGATTACTTGACCAAACAAGTGCTAGACTTCGCCAAAAATCTTCTCAGATTCTGTGGATAAAAATCTTGTCTTGGATTTAATTACTGGCTCATAATCCTCTCCAACAGTCTCGTGTGTCCTTATCTAAAATTCAAAAAGAATCATTTTTTTTTCTTACTATATATATTTATCAAATTTGCCTCTCAAATCTCAAATCTCAGTACTATTTCTAGTCTTTTTGGTTTTGTTTGTTTTTGTTGGTTCTCAAAGTTTGGTGCTTTATACGCTACTGAGATGGAGCTTCCTCATGACTCCCTTTTTCTTGGATTTGACAGCTCTACCCAGTAAGTCTCTCCTGTCTTTTTCTTTCTAAAATTTATCTCCTCAATGCTATAACACTGAATCAATCTGACCCAGATAGCTGAATTGAAGTTTTGATCAGTAGTTGTTATTGGGTCTTTATGTTCGCTTGAAGAATTTGGGTTTTACATGTTAATGGACTGAAAATGTAATGATTGTGTATTGATCAATCCAAATGTTTTCTGTGCTTTTTTTCCTTCATTTTTTTGAGATTTATATATGGGATTAGAATTGCTGTGGTCTAAGATTCTAAATTCTGTGAAACTGTGATTTGTTTCATAGGTCAATGAAAGCAACTGTTTTAGATTCCAACCTCAACATTGTCAAAGCAGAGAAAATTCATTTTGATTCTGATTTGCCCCACTACAAAACCAAAGATGGGGTCTATAGAGACCCTTCTGACAATGGCAGAATTGTTTCACCCACCTTGATGTGGGTAGAAGCTCTTGATCTTGTTCTTCAAAGGCTTGTGAAATCAGGTTTGGATTTTGGGAAAATTGCTGCTCTTTCTGGAAGTGGACAGCAACATGGTAGTGTTTACTGGAAGACAGGTGGTTCTGAAATATTATCATCGCTTGACTCTAAGAAGCCATTGGTGGATCAATTAGGCAATGCCTTTTCCACCAAGGAATCACCAATCTGGATGGACAGTAGCACGACTGCACAATGCAGAGAGATAGAGAAAGCTGTTGGCAGTGCATTGGAGTTGTCTAGGATTACTGGGTCACGCGCTTATGAAAGATTCACTGGACCACAGATTAGGAAGATATATCAGAAACAGCCAGAAGTTTATGATAATACTGAGAGGATTTCCCTTGTTAGCTCATTTATGGCTAGTCTTTTTATTGGAGCTTATGCTGCTATTGATCACACTGATGGTGCTGGGATGAATTTGATGGATATCAACACCAGAGTCTGGTCTAAAAAGGTCTTAGAGGTATATATTGCATGTGTTCAATTGATGCTTTGAGTTGCTACATTAGTCCTCTTTCTTGTCAAATGGAGTGGATTATTGGTGAATCATTGTCAAATGCAGGTTACTGCACCACGTTTAGAGGAAAAACTTGGAAAGTTGGCCCCAGCCCATGCTGTTGCCGGCAATATCGCGTCCTATTTTGTGGAGAGGTTAGTGGCATAGTTGTATGATTTTTATTTTTCCCTTGTAAGTATTATGCTTCAAGCGGTTCAATTTTTCTCAGCAATATATACCTATTAGCAAGTTATGAATGGCTAGAGAATGCAAGGGACTACATTGTTGCTGGTGCAATGTGCCTTTCAAGTTAATTAGTTTGGTTTTGCGTGCAAGTCGTTCTTATTAGTTATAATGTATGGTTAAATCACTAAACCACATAACAAGAAAAAGAAAAAAGTTAATGTGGCAAGAATCTGAAAGCTAAAAGGAAATGATTTATGGCCACGCCTGGAGTGCACAATAACAATGGATGCAGACAAAAAAAGGAGAGAGAAAGTCATGTGCTCTGATGTTGCATTAATGCCTTCTTCTCTGTTTCTGCATTTTAGTCAATTTATACGTAACAGCTTGAGAACTTCATAAATTTCCTTGCAGATATAATTTTAATAAGAATTGTTTGGTTGTTCAGTGGTCTGGAGACAATCCGAACAGTTTAGCAGGTAATGTATGCTCTTTTGTGTAAAACTTGGAAAATCTTTATCTGAATTGGGTTTATGATCTGAATTGGGTTTATGATCTGATTTCATGGTTCGACTATCCTTCTTAAAAGCATGCTTAGCTTTTGCTTGATATATTCAAAGCATGTTCTAAATACTCTATTGTGTCTTTATATGATACAATTCAATTTGTTCCTTAGGTTTCAACAATCAAATAACTGAAAAAAAAAAAAAAAAGCAATCTGAAATTCTTGGAGAAGTAAACAGATTTTAAAATGAAAATATCGGTTGTTATCTAAACTCTTGTTATAAATACTTGTTGTAGTTTATAACTCAAGTCAACATTTTAGACAGTTATTTTTTTCCCCCTCTTGATTGATGCTATTTTCTTAATCAAGGAAGAATGTTGGACTTGCAGGTTTAACTCTTAGCATTCCGGGGGATCTGGCAATCAGTCTCGGCACCAGTGACACTGTAAGAATATAAGACTAAAGCTTTCTACTAGTACCTGGAGTCTTAATACTTGAAGATAATTGTAATGACTGTCATCAATCATGTACTTGAATGGATATGGGTTTATCTGTTGATTGGATTTGCTTACATCAGAGTTTAGGGTCACAACCTTGTGAATAAATTCCCTTTTATAATTTTTACATTCTGATCATCAAAATCCTTACCGTCAATGATTTTAGTTTCCAATATCTTATGTTCAAATTTCACACGTCCAGTAGAACTTATTAGAGCTGCCTTATAATTCATTATTATTGCTTCAGCAGTGGTCCTTGTGGAGAAAAAATACCTTGTTTATCTTCTTTATTTATTTGTACCACCTTTCAATGTGGTATGGTACAAGTCCAGAATAATCCTACATGAATTCTCCCTTGTTAAACTAGAATCAGTTATTCTGTGCCATACTTGCAAACTAATGCTTTTCATGTTTCATGCAGGTTTTTGGGATTGCAAGTGACCCCAAATCTGGACTAGAAGGCAATGTTTTCCCTAATCCTGTAGATACACAAGGTTACATGGTTATGTTATGCTACAAAAATGGGTCTTTGACTCGAGAAGGTACTGTATGGTTCCTGTGTTTTTCAGCAAATACCATTCAGTAGTTCCCTAATATGAAAACAATCTTGATTTTAGATGTGCGCAACCGTTGCGCTGAGAAATCTTGGGAAATCTTCAATACGCATCTGGAGCAAACACCACCCCTTAATGGTTTGTATATGAACTAAATGACTGCTGTTGTTCCTTTTTTTGTGCTCTCTGTTTCCTCATTCAGTCTTGTCAATAGGTGGAAAGATTGGTTTCTACTACAAGGATCATGAAATTCTTCCTCCTCTCCCAGGTAGGTTTTGATTATTATTTTTTTTCCAATAATGATTTCTTTTTTCTGCAAGAAACATTATGTTGGGGATCTGCATTTCAGTAATTATGCGAGTTTCTAACCTTAAATTTTCTAGTTGGTGAACTGCAATTAATGTTTTAGGGTTATCGAATCCGTAATATTGTCGTTGAAATCTTGGCCTGTCGGTGTTGTGATGTTTCAGAGACCAAAATTAGGCTGATAGAACTTAGATGCAACTAGAGCTATATGGTGATGCTGAGAGCCTATATGGTGGAGTAACACTAATGGAATTGAATCCCCATGCATAAAGATAGTTGGAACTGCAAAATTAGTTTGATTTAACCATTCAAAGACTGCAGTCCCTTTTTCCTTTTCTTTTTTGGAACGTATTTTATACTTCTATATTCTATATTCTATCATCTAAAGAAGCCTCGGAATATTAATTGTCAGTTTTTAATGCACCCAGTTGGCTTCCATCGCTATGAGCTCCAAAATTTCACAGGCACCGCTGTGGAGGGATTGAATGAACGGGAGGTGAAGGAATTTGATCCTCCTTCTGAGGTGAGCACTTTCTAAGAGTGTATTTGTATATGCTGACGTGCTAGTGCAAGGGTTCTCTTTAAAGAAAGAAATTTTCAATTCAGGTCCGGGCAGTGATCGAGGGCCAGTTCCTCTCGATGCGAGCTCATTCTGAAAGATTTGGCATGCCTTCCCCTCCTAAACGAATAATAGCTACGGGTGGAGCATCAGCTAATGTTAGCATTTTGAACACTTTAGCATCAATTTTTGGCTGCAATGTCTATACAGTCCAACAACCTGGTAAGCAGTTCTTATTCTTTCCATGGAAACAATCAACCTCTTTCTTCTAGCATCCTGGATATCTAGTCTGATTCCAAATCCATGGAAAACCTCACAAGGGTTTCCGTTCCAAACACTAAATCTTAAATGAGAATGTTTTTCTGAAATCAATTATCCGTTTGTTATTTAGCTGACTGTATATATAGTTCACATGGTACTGCCCTAGTTTGACTTGACGAAATAACCTTTAAACTTGATTTACAGATTCTGCTTCGCTTGGTGGTGCATTGAGGGCTGCTCATGGCTGGTTGTGCAGTCAGAAAGGAAGTTTTGTGCCAATCGCAGACCTGTACAAGGGAAAGTTGGAGAAGTCAGCTCTCAGCTGCAAGCTTTCAGTGAATGCTGGGAATCAAGAACTGGCTTCCCAGTATGCTTTATTGATGAAGAAGAGAATGGAGATAGAGAATCGCCTCGTCAAAGATCTTGGACGATGCTGATGTAGAGAAAAACCGTCTTCTATATGTATAATCTAGAAAAGTAACATCTTTCCTTTCAATGAAAATGCTTCGAGACAATGGCATGATCATCTTTTATCTTTATGTCAATAAATAAAGGTTTTGATTCATTTCTTTGCATCAAACAATTTGAAGTTCTTTTACGTTAAACTCAGCATGAAGAATCTTTCCTCCAAATAAGTCTCGGCTAATTTTCATTCTCGCACCCAAAATTCGTATCTGTTAACTTTCTCAGCAACAGATCTATAACCTGACCAATTTGGTGCCTTTTCCAGTTTCTACTCTATCGCCTGTTCCAGCATCTATCTTTGACAAAAGTATTTAGATGTCTGCGTGCTTTGGGGCCATTTGAAACCATTCCAACTCCCAAGGCCTTAAGTCATTAACAAGCGGACAAAACAGATTTCTCAATAAACTAAAGTTTAATACTTCGATGATCTTAGTTCTAGTTCATTTTAACCTATTCCAAAAAACCGAACTTCAGTTTTGATGATTCCAAAACAAATTTTGGGTTGAATCAACTTTGTTCAATTGGAGAGCTAAGTTAGCTCTTAAAAAAAGAACAAAAAACTGAAACACTAAGTCCAAAATGTTTATGGAGATTTTCTCGGTCTTTTATGAAAATAGTTAAAGCTGTGCTTGCTTGGGACAAAATAAGTTTCAAGAACTTGTTTTCCTCATTTTTCGATATTTATTTCACATTTAAGAAAAAAGTCAACAAAAAATGATTTTCAATTAACGAAAAATGATAGAATATTTTTGAAAAAGTATTTTTTGAGTTAAAAAAGAAGAAAACATTTTTTTTCTCTTTCACGAGTCGTCTCGCTTTGCGTTATTCATCTCTCTTTCGATATATTTTAACAATTTTTTTCTTTATCTTTTTTTTATTTAAAATATATCAAATTAATTTTTAATTATTTCTTATCTATTATTATTAATTATTTAATTATTTGTTTTCTCTATTTCTACTAACATTTGATTTTTTGATTTATAAATACATTAAATATTCTTAAAAACCATTTTTACACCTTAAAATTATTTTTATAATAAATATTTTAATAATTTATCTCTATTTTTGTTTACCATTATCCCAAACACCACCTAAATTATACTTAAATGATTGAAAATGATTATTACGAGACTGCAATCATTTGTGAAAAATTTGAAACTAATTAATTCATTAATAAATATATTATTTTTCAATACTATTTATTTGCAACTAAACCAATAATTTGTGACTAATTTTAATCGGTTGTAAAATTTTGTTGATAATTATAGTAAATAATTAGTTATAAATTATTCCAACATTAATCTTCCGAAACCAAATTAATAATTATCTATAAATGATAACTAATAATTTGTAAAACTATTTTTTAGACTAAATTATCAGTTCAATTTTTTTTAAAAAAAAACTTAATTAAGTTATCAAAATAACAACGCTAGGTTACTTAGAAATTTTTTTACTAAATATGAATATTAACTTGATTTTATCTCAAGTAATTTTGATGAATTGGTTTGGAGGTTAAAAATATACATTTTATTTTTTGATTTTTTGAACTTAAATCTTAGAATCGGTATTTATAAAAATTTATTAAATTTTTTTAAATGCATCTTATATTGTGAAATTGTGAATATGTTTTGTTGAAGTTTTCTTAAAATTCGTTTATATAACAATCATAGCTTATTTTTGTATTTCAGTTTTCCGTATCAAACAAACGCTGGAATATATTTTTTAACAGCTTTTTCATGTAATTGCCAAACGTCAAAAGATATTTTTTTAAAAAATAACTTTCTCAAAAATAGCTTTTTTAGAATTAATTTTTCCATAAAAATTATTTTTTATCAAACAAACAGAGCCTAGAAAAAAACGAGTGAGTTGATGCTCAAGATATAAATTGATTAAAAAAACATCATTGAGATTAAAAGTGATTAGTGTGCTAATTATTTGTGTTTGTTTGGTTTTCTGTATATCTAAATAAATTCGTTCAAAAAAAAAAATGAACTGAACAATTTTGAAACCGGAAATTAGATCGTCCTTTATTATTATTATTATGTTGATCATGGAAATTTGATCGTCCTTTGATTTAAATCTAAATTCAATTATTGTCCCACTTTCTTTCTGGCACAATTTAAAAAAAAAAAAAAGGTCCTTCGATCAGTGCTTCGCTTGAAAAAGTACGGATGGAAGTTTCGGGAATTTTGAATAACGTATGCATGAAATCTTCTCTGTCCTGTCTAAAATTCCAAAAGTCAATGACACGATCTACGTTTTGTGGGGTTAACTTGGTCCCTCTATACTCTTCTCGTCCTAACGTGGTACACACATATCTATGTCATTCCTGCATTTGCTAGTTAGCTGGCACCGCCATAGAATTGCCAACATTGTTGCTAGTTTTTGGTTTTTTTTTTTAAAAAAAAATGACAACAAGATTTGGAATCGTTCATGAGAAAAATCAAAATACAAAAGTACAAAATAATAATAAGAAGATTAAAATTCACAATATAGATGTTATGACTACTAAATCTATTGCTATAAAAACGCAGTTTAATTGCATAATATGTTCATTTCATGTGACTACTAAATCTATTGCTATAAAAATTCATTTTAATAGCATAAAACGTTTATTTATTGTTGACATTTTTTGATATGGTCCCTCTATTTTTTTTTTATTCATCACCTTCTAGTACTCTTCAATTTTTCTTAACGTGGCCTCTCTCATTGAAATCCGATGATTAATCCGGTAGGCAATAATAGATGGTAAAAAATTACCACACGAAGTGGCACATCAAGTAAAAAACTAACACGTGGTCGACACATTAGATCAAATATGCCATGTGGATAAAAAATTTTACATGAAAAATCTAAAAAAAAAAAAAAGTATAAAAACCCTTTGACTTTTCTCTCTCCTCACGAGGCTCAATAATTATAGTCCGGAAACCATTTGTTCATGTTCAACAAATCGAGGAATTTAATGATGAGAACAACCAATGTAGGGTATATTTTCTTAGCATAAGAATTGGTGGATTGGCTATCAACCTCACTTCGCCTAATACCCGTATACTCGTATGACGAGTGATTAGGTATTTTCTTGATCTCGTGTTCCATCATCCACCTTTGATATACTAAAACTTTAGATGTTTCCTAATTCATACTATTTCTTTGATTTTAGATCTAAATTTCAGAACCCTCAAATGGATTTGCAAAGCCATGGATGGATGTCACCAAATTAGGCAAACCAAGCATGTACATGTTTACGAGTCGACAACGACTCACTCGTTGAGGTATTCAATGGTGGCCTTTGTTGTCATTTAATGCTTTTGTTTGGTTGCCAAATAATTGACAAATTGTATGCTTACAGTGGTCATATTTTGAAAATAGCTTTTAATAAGTTGAAGCTTAAGCATGTGGTGATTAGAAAAAGACAGCTTTCATCATGAGCGAATCAAGTCTAACAAGTCCGAAGTCACGCAGGTTTGTTTTATTTGTGTTGTTTTTCACCTCTTTTATATTTTACTTGACCATTAGTGGTAGCAATGATATCTTTCTTAAAGTCCTTAGTTCGTCGAGGGCTAGAATTGATTTTTTTCACCTCATTGATTTTTTTTAATTTTTTTAACACACCTTCTAATTTAGTGTTAAATAGTGAAAAAATGACTTTTGAAAATAATACCTGAGTGGAGGAAGCATGCTAAAAACATAACATTCTATTATGATGGATTGATATTTTGATTGAACTTTCGTAATGAGGATATATTGACCCGACTTCGAGATGAAGAAACAAAAGAAGACAAGTTGATACCGATAAATATCGATGATGAAGATTTAGAAAGGGTTTTAGATCGTAGTGACTTGGTCGTAGGCTTATCACCGGATGACATTGCTCCTACTTATTCAATTTCCATGAAAGTGGCTCGGTTGGGAGGTGGTAATACCAACCGCAAGTGGAGGCGTGCTCTCTACCCTAACAACTAGTTGTTTGTTGGTCATATTCACGGATTTTGGTTGTGGTATGGCTTGATAATTCCGAATGTCTACTTTTTTTGTACGGGTGTCATGACCTCCGACGGAGAATGTGGAGTCTCGCATAGCTCATTTTTGTATGCGAGTAAAGTTTTGCCCTCGACAAACGTGTCTCTTAATTTTGCAAACAATAGAATGGAAAGAGGCTACTTTTGTAAATGTCTAATTATTAGACGAAGTGTTCTCATATACTAATTTAATTTTAGGAGCAAAATGAAGAATTGAATAGAAATGATTTTATCATAATCAATAATTTACAAACATCGATAGACTCAACATTTACATTTGATAGGTTAAAAGAAAAAGAAAAAAAGGATTAGTAGTGTGTGTGTGTGTGTGTGTGTGCGCGTGTGTGTATCAATGAACTATTGAAAAATTCGAAATAAAAAAATTATTGACTAAAAATAATTGAATAAAAGAATAATGGTAAAAGATTTCTCTATGAGTAAAAAAAAAATCTAAGAACTAGGAATTTTTATAGGATGACTAAAAGTTTAAGTTTTAGAATTTAAAGTTTGAAACTACAACCACAGAGGAGAGAAAGAGATAGAGGAGAGAGAGAAAGGGGGAGAGACAAAAGAGAGAGGGAGTGGGGGGAGAAAAACTAAATTTTTTTTTCATATGACAAAAAAATATGATGTGTCATGCCACGTAGATTTTTCTATCCCAGTCGTCAATTTTGATAAAAAAAATTGGCTGAAAAACAATTGATGGCGTCATATTATGAAAAATTGAAGAGTACATGGAGGTAATGAATAAGGAAAAAAAATAGAGGGGCCACATTAAGGAAATGTTGATCGTATAGAGACATTTTATGTGATTAAACCATAAAAACACTTAACTACTAATAGATGGAGGAAGAGGGGTAAAGAGGGAAAAGCCACTCTCTCTAAAGAAAAAAGAAAAAAGGAAGAAGAAAGAATGGAGAGTTGGAAAGGAAGAAGAACATATTAAAAAGAAAAGGCGAAGAGTTATGAATATGTTCCAAAAAGCAGAATAGAGTAGAGGAAAAAAAGGATGAAGCCTTAATAATTAACATGATTTAATCAACTTGTTAATGGTGAAATGTAGAAAAATATGCATTAGTAGTAAGTGTAATATATAAAAAAAGTTATATCAAGAGTTTAAATTAGTCTTTCCGTAAGCAAGATATATTTACTTAGACTATTTGAGTATTAGTTTTGAGTAATCGATAATTATAATCTGAAAATCATTTGTTCATGTTCAATAGATCAAGGAATTAATGATGAGAACAACCAATATAGGGTATTTTTTCTTAGCTCAAGAGTTGGTGGATTGGCTATCAACCTCACTTTAGCCGATACACGCATACCGTACGATAATGACTAGGTATTTTCTTGATCACGAGTTCCATCGTCCGCCTTTAATATATTATAACTCTCGATGTTTCCTAATTCATACTATTTCTTTGATTTTTACATCAAAATTTCAGAACCCTCAAATGGATCAACAAGACATGGATAGATGTCATCGAATTGGGCAAACCAAGCCTCGTTCATGTTTACGAGTTGACAACAATTCTATTTGTCGAGGTATGTAATAATGGTCTCTCGTTTTCATTTAATGCTTTTGTTTGGTTGCTATATAATTGACAAATTGTATGCTTACAGTGGTCGTATTTTGAAAAGAGCTTTTAGTAAGTCGAAGCTTGAGCATGTGGTGATTGGAAAAGGACAATTTCATCAAGAGCGAACCAAATCTAGCAAGTCTAAAGTCATAAAGGTTTGTTTTATCTCGCTTTGTTTTTCACCTTTTTTATATTTTACTTGACCATTAGTGGCAACATTGATATCTTTCTTAAAGTCTTTGGGTCATTGAGGGGTAAAATTGATTTTTTTTTCACCTCGTTTTTTTTTTATTTTTTGAACACACTTTCCAATTTAGTGTTAAATGGTGAAACAATGACCTTTGACAATAATACCTGGATGGCAAAAGCATGTTGAAAGCTGAACATTCTATTATGATGGATTGATATTTTAATTGAACTTTCGTGATGAGGATATAATGGCCCCGCTTTGAGATGAAGAAACACAAGAAGACAAGTTGATACAAATAAATATCAATGATGAAGATTTAGAGAGGGTTTTAGATCATAGTGACTTGGTTGTAGGCTTATCACCGGATGGCATTGTCGCTACTTATTCAATTCCCGTTAAAGGGCCTCGGTTGGGAGGTGGTAATACCAATTACAAGTGGAGGCATGCTCTATACCCTTAACAGCCTAATTACTTATTGGTCACATTCACATATTTTGGTTGCGGTATGGCTTGAAATTCTGAATGTTTACTTTTTTGTGTGGGGGTGCAGTGACCTCCGATGGAGAATGTGGAGTCCGTATGGCTCACTTTTGTACGTGAGTAGAGTTTTGATCTCGGGTAACATGTCTCTAAATTTTACAAACAACAAAATGGAAAGAGGCCATTTTTGTCAATGTCTAATTATTGGACATATGTGCTCTCATCTACCGATTTAATTTTAGGAGCAAAATGAAAAATTGGCTAGAAATGATTTTATTAGAATCGGTAATTTACAAAGATCGATTGACTCAACATTTATATTTGATAGGTTAAAAGAAAAAGAAAAAAGGTTAGTAATGTGTGTGTGTGTATCAATGAACTATTGAAAAATTCAAAAAAAAAATTATTGACTAAAAATAATTGAATAAAAGAATAAAATAAAAGATTTCTCTATGAGTAAAAAAAAAATCTAAGAATTATGATTTTTTGTAGGATGACTAAGAGTTTAAGTTTTAGAATTTAAAGTTTGAAACTACAACTACAGAGGAGAGAAAGAGATAGAGGGGAGAGAGAGAGAGAGGGGAAAAGGGAGGAGAAAAACTAATTTTATGAAAAAAAAATGATGTGTCATGACACGTAGATTTTCTTATCCCAATTGTCGGTTTTGATTAGAAAATTGGCCAAAAAAATATTAAAGGGGTTACATTAAGAAAAATTAAAGAGTATAGAGAGATAATGAAAAAGAAAAAAAAGTAGAGGGGCCACATTAAGAAAATGTTGATAGTAGAGAGACGTTTTATACGATTAAACCATAAAAACTCTTAAGTCTTAATGGATGGAGGAAGAGAGATAAAGAGGGAGAAGCCACTCTATAAATAAAAAAGAAAAAAGAAAAAGAAGAGAGAATGAAGAGTTGGAAAGGAAGAAGAACATATTAAAAAGAAAAGACAAAAAGTTATGAATATGTTCTAAAAAAGTATAGTAGATTAGGGAAAAAAGATGATGAAGCCTCAATAATTAACATGATTTAATCAAGTTGGTAATGGTGAAATATAGAAAAATATGCATTATTAGTTACTCGTGATATATAAAAAGAAGTTATATTCGGAGTTTAAATTAGTCTTTCTCTATGTAAGATATATTTACTTAGACTATTTGAGTATTAGTTTTGAGTAATCGATAATTATAGTTTGGAAACCATTTGTTCATGTTCAACAGATCGAGGAATTTAATGATGAGAACAACCAATGTAAGGTATTTTTTCTTAGCATAAGAGTTACCTGGATTGGCTATCAAACTCACTTCGATTGATGCTTGTATTTTTACAACATTGACTAGGTATCTTCTTGATCTCAAGTTCTATCGTCCACCTTTAATATAATAAAACTCTAGATATTTCCTAATTTGTACTATTTCTTTGATTTTTACTTTTAAATTTTAAAACCCTCAAATGGATCTACAATCCATGGATAGATGTCATCGAATTGGGCAAACCGAGCCTCGTTCATGTTTACGAGCTAACAACAACTCTATTTGTTAAGGTATGCAATGGTGGTCTCTGTTTTCATTTAATGCTTTTGTTTGTTGCTAGATAATTGAAAAATTATATGCTTACATGGTCATATTTTGAAAAGAACTTTTGTTAAGTTAAAGCTTGAGCATATGGTGATTGGAAAATGACAGCTTTCATCAAGAGCGAACCAAGTCTAACAATTATGAACTCATAAAGGTTTGTTTTATCTCGCTTTGTTTTTCACCTCTTCTATATTTTACTTGACTATTAGTTGAAGCAATGATATCTTTTTTAAAGTCCTTGGTTCATCGAGGGTTAGAAATGATTTTTTTCACCTCATTTATTTTTTAATTTTTTGAACACATTTTGATTTAGTGTTAAATAGTGAAACAATGACTTTTGGCAATAATACTCGAATGATGGAAGCATGTTAAAAATTCAAAATTTTATTATGATGGATTGATATTTTGATTGAAATTTTAGGATGAGGATATACTAGCCCTACTTCGAGCAAAGAAACAAAAGAAGACAAGTTGATACCGATAGATATCGTTGATAACGATTTAGAGATGGTTTTAGATCGTCGCGATTTAGTCGTAGGCTTATCACTCGGATGTCATTGCTACTACTTATTCTATTCCGATGAAAAAGCCTCGGTTGGGAGGTGGTAATACCAACTACAAGTGGAGGCATGCTCTCTATCCTTAACAGCTAGTTACTTATTATGGTTGCGGGTGCAAAAATGGCTTATCCATTCCGAATGTTTGTTTTCTTTTTATGTTGGTGGAGTGACCTCCGATGGAGAATGTGAAGTCTATATGGCTCACTTTTTTGCTTGAGCGTAGTTTTGCTCACAGATCAATGTGTCTCTTAATTTTTCGGAGAATAGAATGGAAATAGTCCACTTTTATAAATGTCTAATTATTAGACAATCGTGTTCTCATCTACCGATTTAATTTTAGGAGTAAAATGAAAAATTGACTATAAATGATTTTATTAGAATAAGTAATTTGCAAAGATCAATTGACTCATATATATTTGATAGGTTAAAAGAAAAAAAAAGGTTAGTGGTGTGTGTGTGTGTGTGTGTGTGTCCATATATCATTGAACTATTGAGATATTCCTAATTAAAAAATTATTGATTAAAAGAATAACATAAAAGAATTCTCCATGAGAAAAAAAAATCTCGTAACTAGCAATTTTTGTAGGATGACTAAGAGTTTAAGTTTTAGAATTTGAAGTTTGAAACTACAACTACCAAGGAGAGAAAGAGATAGAGGAGAGAGAGAAAGAGGTAGAGATAGAGGAGAGAGAGAGAGGGAGAGGGAGGAGAAAAAATAAATTTTTTTATTTTTTATTTTTTCCACATGAAAAAATGACATGTCATGCCACGTAGATTTTTCATTCCCAGTTATCATTTTTTATCAAAATATTGGCCAAAAAATATTTGGAGAGGTCACATTAAGAAAAATAAAGAGTATAGAGAGGTAATGAATAAGAAAAAAAAAGAGGGGCTACATTAAGAAAATGTTAATAGTAAAAATACGTTTATGCAATTAAACCTTAAAAACTCTTAGTTACTAATGGATGGAGGAAGAGGGGTATAGAGGGAGAAGCCACTCTCTATAAAGAAAAAAGAAGAAAAAGAGAAGAAAAAGAGAGAATGGAGAGTTGGAAAGGATGAAAAACATATTAAAAAGAAAAGACAAAGAATTATGAATATGTTCCAAAAAATAGAATAGACTAGGAAAAAAAGGACGAAGCCTCAACAATTAGCATGATTTAATCCAGTTGGTAATTATGAAATATGGAAAAATATGCATTATTAGTAATTGTGAGATAAAAAAACTTATATTTAGAGATTAATTAGTCTTTCTCTAGGCATGATATATTTACTTAGACTATTGAATTATTAGTTTTGAGTAATTGATAATTGTAGTCCGGAAACCGTTTGTTCATGTTCAAGAGATATATGATTTTAATGATGAGAACAACCAATGTAGGGTATTTTTTCTTAGCATAAGAGTTAGTGGATTGGCTATCAACCTCATTTCGGATGATACCTTTATACTCGTACGATAATGACTAAGTATTTTCTTGATCTCTTATTCAATCATCCACCTTTAATATACTAAAAATCTAGATGTTTCCAAATTTATACTATTTCTTTGATTTTTACATCTAAATTTCAGAACCCTCAAATGGATCTACAAGCCATGGATATATGTCATCGAATTGGGCAAACCAAGCTCGTTCATGTTTACAGAGTTGACAACAACTCAATCTGTTGAGGTATACAATGGTGGTCTCTATTTTCATTTAATTATTTTGTTTGGTTGCCAAATAATTGACAAATTGTATGCTTACATGGTTGTATTTTGAAAAGAGCTTTTAGTAAGTTGAAGCTTGAGCATATGGTGATTGGAAATGGACACTTTCATCGAGAGTTAACCAAGTCTAACAAGTCTGCAGTCACGAAGGGTTGTTTTATCTTCTTTTTTTCACATCTTCTATATTTTAATTGACTATTAGTGGCGGTAATGATATCGTTTTTAAAGTCCCGGGTTCATTGAGTGTTATAATTGATTTTTTTCACCTTATTTATTTTTCAAAATTTTTTTGAACACACTTTCTAATTTAGTGTTAAATGATGAAACAATGACTTTTAGCAATAATACCTACATGGCGAAAGCATGTTGAAAACTCGAACATTTTATTTTGATGGATTGATATTTTGATTGAACTTTCGGGATGAGGATATACCGGCCTTGCTTTGAGATGAAGAAATAGAAAAAGACAAGTTGATATAGATAAATATTAGTGATGAAGATTTAGAAAGGCTTTTAGATCGTAGTGGTTTGGTTGTAGGCTTATCACCAAATGACATTGCTGCTACTTATTCAATTTTCATGAAAGGGTCTCGGTTGGGAGATGATAATACCAACTGCAAGTGGAGGCATGCTCTTTACCCTTAACAACTAGTTGCTTGATGGTCACCATTCACAGATTTTGGTTGCGATTACGGGTGTGAAAATGGCTTGATCATTTTGAATGTCCGGTTTTTTTTTTTTTTTTTTTTTAATCGGGGTAAGGTGACCTTTGACGAGAGAATGTGGAGTTTGCATGGCTCACTTTTGTACACGAGCAGAGTTTTGCTCTTAGCAAATGTGTCTCTTAATTTTGCAAACAATAGAATGGAAAAAGAACATTTTTGTAAATGTCTAATTATTAGATAGATGTGTTCTCATCTATTGATTTAATTTTAGAAGCAAAATGAAGAATTGACTAGAAATGATTTTATCATAATCGTAATTTGAAGAGATCAATTAACTCTACATTTATATTTGATAGGTTAAAAGAAAAAGAAAAAAGGGTTAGTATTGTGTGTGTGTATCAATGGACTATTGAAAAATTCTAAATAAAAATATTATTGACTAAAAATCATTGAATGAAAAAATAATGTAAAAGAATTCTCTGTAAGTAAAAAAAAAAAAATCTAAGAACTAGGAATTTTTGTAAGATGACTAAGAGTTTAAGTTTTCGAATTTGAAGTTTAAAACTACAACCATAGAGAAGAGAGAGAAGGGGGGGGAGATAGAGGGGAGAGGGAGGAGAAAAAATAAAATTGTTTTTTTTATTTTTTTCACATGGCAAAAAAAAAAAAATGACATGTCATGCCATATAGATTTTTATATCCCAATTGTCAGTTTTGATAAAAAAACATTAGCTGAAAAATAGTTAGAGGGATCACATTAAAAAAAATTAAAGAGTACTTAGGAGGTAATGAATAAGAAAAAAAGTAGAGGGGGCCACATTAAAAAAATCTACATAGTAGAGAGACGTTTTATGCGATGAAACCATAAAAACTCTTAACTCGCTAATGGATGGAGGAAGAGGGGTAGAGAGGCGAAGCTCACTCTTTATAAAGAAAAAAGAAAAGAAGAAGAAGAGATAATAAAGAGTTGGAAAGGAAGAAGAACATATTAAAAAGAAAAAACAAAGAGTTATGAATATGTTCCAAAAAAGTAGAGTAGACTAGGGGAAAAAAAGAGAGGATGAAGCCTTAACAATTAACATGATTTAATCAAGTTGGTAATGGTGAAATATGGACAAATATGTATTATTAGTAATTATGATATATATAAAAAAGTTATATTAGGAGTTTGAATTAGTCTTTCCGTAAGCAAGATATATTTACTTAGACTATTTGAGTATTAGTTTTGAGTAATCGATTTTCAATTTAATTTGTGGTACTTTTAGCTTTTCCGATAGTTGATTTTAGATTCATATTATTGTCTCTTTATTTATTTATTTGTAGTTCAAATAATTTGTTTAAGAAGTTCTATAATATGTTAATTTGTATTGAGTTTTTATATCTTTGATGTATTTATCATCTTTTTTATAAATGGAAATTTTTAAGTTGTTAAAAAAAATCATCAAATATAAAAGACATAAAGCATATAAAAAAATATCATAAGAGAACTTGAATAAAACTAATAGTTCAATTATCAAATATTACAAAAAAATTCAAAATGTTAATACAAATTGATCGGATATAAAATACCTAAGTTCTTGTCTCATATTCTTATCATACATTCTAATCTACATGAATTCTAAAATCAAAACCCTTATATACTTTATTAATTATACTACTAATTAGGTTTAGGTTGAGCATAAACGGATGAGACGCCAAACTGGTACGGGTTAGTGCCATTGTGGGAAAGTATTTTTCTTTCTTTCCTCGTGAATAAGTTTGGGGGGAGTTGACTAACAAGTGCAAGGGTAATATCATGAAAACAAATTTTATATGGATTACATTAAAATAAAAAAGAAGAGTACACGGATAGTTAAGGCTGTATTTGTTTCAAGAAAAATAAGTTCTTTCCCCATTTTCCTATGTTTGTTTGGCAATATTGGAAAAAAATCAAAGAAACTTATTTTTCAATCAAGGAAAATTTTAAGGCAAACTTTGATAAATTGACTTCTCGAAAAAAAAACGAGAAAAAATTTTCCATTTGAGCTCTCTCACCTAAACCCACTCATTTTATTGTTGCTCGAAGCCGAGCCCAAGGACTCCTCGCCATCCAACGTTGTCGTAACAAAGCTAACATCATCATCGAGCAAACAAAGCCTACAAAAGAACGATTAGATCTGCACTCTTTTCCCTTCCAGGATTGTTTCCCTCTCCCTTCCTCTCTCTATTGCTCGTCGCAGTCCAAACGAGAGGAAAGCGTAGACACCTTCGCCACCGACCTCGACTGCCATTGCCTACTCCGCAGCCTCGATCGACGCTGCCGAGTGTGGTTTTGAGGTAAATTTATTTCTCCTTTTTCTCAAACACAAGAGTTTAATTGTGTAAAATCATCGAGTGATTGGGTTGCCAACATAATACTAAGAACCAAGATTTTAAGAAATTAAGATTAGGCTTTGAGATTTCGGGGTTTATACATTTCTTTTTGAATTTCTTTGTGGGTTTTTCTTTTTCTTGGCTCTCGTGATTAAATTTCTAATCAATTTGCTTATGGATATGTACTTGCTAATTTTCACAATTTGTTCATGCTTTTTTTCTTTTTCTTTTTAATTGTACTTAGTTAGGTTGATTTATTTTAGATGATTTTTCATGATGTCAAACATAGAGTCTTGTTGAAACTTGTTCTTGATGTTTCTCAAACACATTTGAGAAATAGAGGAAAGTAAAGGAGGTTCTTCATGAGAGTCCTAATTACTAACACAATGTTCCAAAGAAAGGAAAATATGTCGGTGATATTTTGTTTGCTAATGAAATTATGGTTAGATTACTAGTAATATAGTAGTGAGATAGATAGATAATTAGAAGGGAACTTTATCGAAAGGAAAAGTGAGAAAATAGTTGGTTTTTAATAAATGATAAAGTACTGCTTGGGAAGCTCCTTTCCTCTTTATGCGGCTATCATTCAACAACTAGTCAAAGAAACAACATCATAAGCATTATTAGCTTTTTTTTTGTTGCATAATTTTGCAATTTTGAAATGCAAACTAAGATTGTCTTTAACCATCCATAAAGCTGAGAACAATGTTCTTTTAGCACATTCTTTTTTGGTTGAAAAATTATTTTACACTCGTATAGTATTAGTACGAGAGTAGCTTTTCTTTTCGGTTTCAAATTTAAGCTTCCCAAGCCCTTTTAAGGAGGTAATGGATCCAATAAAGCATACTCGACCGTGGTCCTCGTGAAATATACAATTCCTTTCTCCTTGAACTTGCCAAGAAAATTTACAATCATCAACCAATTAATACAATATAATTAAGAAATATTCTCATGCACAAAATGCAAAGATACATAATATATAAATTTTATTATTTATTTTTTTCTTTGGGAATTGAGAATATATATATTGTTCCTTATAGAATGTTGTTGCCTCATATTTGTGGATCCACTACCCAAGTACTTTTATGCATTTTCTCTATTCTTGATTTTATACTAATTTTCCTCTTATATTTTTACTTGTTTTAATTATTATTATTGTTACTATGAATCTCACGATATTTCTTTTCTCGAAAAAAGAAAAGAAAAGAAATAAAAACTCTTTGAAACAAAAAAAAGCATGTGATTTATTCTTGTTTTTAGTTTTAATTTTTTTTAACTAATGAGATAAGTTGTTTCTTATTTTACTTCCAATTATAATGAGATAAGTTGTTTCTTATTTTACTTCCAATTATAATTTCTCTTATCTATTTCTCACAATATATAGTTTTTATTTTTTGAAATTCTGTTTATCGACAATGCTTGTAGAAATGAGTAACACGAACCAAGAAAAAGCTAAAGCCGAACAGTTTAGGTGGGCAAGACCTATGTCTTATATGTTGCTTGAGATTTTGGCCGAGGAGGTCGTGAAAAGGAATAAACCTTTTTTCACTTTCAAACAAGATAGCTTTGCACGTGTAGCAAGAGAAATCAACTTAAAATTTGGATTAGATTGTTTTCCCGATCATGCTAAAAATCATTTAAAGAAAATAAAAAAAGAATGGAAGATTATCACACAACTGCAAGAGAAAAGTGGTTTTGGATGGAATGATGAGTTGAAAATGATTACTATTTTAAAACAAGTTTATGATAAAGAGATAACGGTAATATAAATTTTTTTTTCAATGTCTTAACTTGTTTTTCTATATTTATAAGATCTTTTCTAATTTCTTTTAATATACGAGGGCATCCAAACCATGATAAGTACTTGAACAAAAAAATTAAGATGTACAATGAGATTACATTTGTTGCTTGGATAAGATATGGCCACATGAAGTTTTGCCAAGTCTTTTAATGATATCAACTTGGTCGAGAGCTTTGAAATGGAATCTACAACACCGGATAAAGTTGACATAGGCTAAGGAAAAGAGGCATCATCAACCAATATGCTTTCCGGAAAGAGAAGCCATCGAAAAAGAGGTCATGAGGCCGAAGAATCAAGTACATCCGTTTTAGCTATGAAAGCGAGAAAAGTGGCCAAAACAATTCATGTTTTAACAAAAAATGAAGTTGATATAGATGAGTTTTATAATGTGGTGATAAAGATTAGTGATTTTGATAATGACATCTTGAATAATGTGTTTGATTATTTGGTTCAAAATGATAGGTTAGGAAAGGCTTTTATGGCAAGAAATGAACAATATAGGAAACTTTGGATTGAAAAGTTCATCAATGAACATGGTGGATCATCTACATGATGTGGCTTTTAATTAAATGGCTGGATCTATTACTATTATGTGTGACTTTCCTATTATATATTTGGATTCCTATTATGTATTTGAATTTGTAGGAGTATGGATTTTGTAGACAATTTTAATTTATTTTTTTTGGATGTTGGATCATTGTAGCTATTTTTGTAGCTATTATTATGGATGTGAGATATTTTAATTATGGATGTTTAATTTTCCGGTGTACAAATTGTTGTGATGCATGAATGAGATTCAGCTTTTGGATTATGAGTAGTATAATTATGAATCAAATTGATAGAATGGAAAGAACTATTTATTTTATTTATTCAACCAAGTATTTCATTATAATTTTATTATATGACTTTCTTTAGAAATAATTATGTTATATTTTTTATGATACCAACTCATGTTCCTCAACTCGACCATTGACAACACTCTATGTTTATCCATCTAGTCAATGGAAACCCAAAAAAATGTGATCAATGCTCATTATGCAAAAGGTTTGGTCACTTAGCTAAAGATTGTCCCAACTATATGTGTGTGTGTGTGTGTGTGTGTGTGAGTGTGTGTGTGTGAGAGAGAGAGAGAGAGAGAGAGAGAGAGAGAGAAATCTTTTAATAATTTTTATATTATGAAATTATCAATATGCTTTGTCGAAATTCATTTAAAACTCGTTGATATAATAACCACGATTTATTTTTGTATTTTCATTTTCCGTATCAAACAAACACTCGGAAAATGTTTTTCAGCGAGTTTTTCTATTCAACTCGCCAAATGTCGGAAAATATTTTTTTGAAAAACAACTTCCGAAAAATAGCTTTTTCGAATTGGTTTTTCTACTGAAAATTGTTTTTCGCCAAACAAACGAGCTTAAGAGTTAAGACAATGCTTTTATAAAAAAGGAATGTCAAAATTTATTTGGAAAAAATTTAAAAATTAATGTTGTTTTTGCTTTGGTTTAACTTGAATATTTAGTTTCGATGGATTGATGTAAGGGTTATATATATATTATCGGATATACTAAAAGAAAACCAAAAACTACCGTACCATTTTACTTGTTCATTAACTCGTTCATCCTTTTTTTTTTTTCCCTCTCGCCAAGCCTCTTTTGGCTTTTAGTTTTTTTTTCCTCTTCTTCGGGCAAGGCCTCTTTTGGCTTTTCATAAATTTTATTTTTAGTTTTAGTCCTTATTTTATAACTTTGTTTCTTTTGGTTATTAAAATTTTATTAAATTTGATTTTTGTCCCTATAATCACTATTTATTAATTATTCAATTTTTTTTCCTTTTCTTCCGCTAAGGCCTTTTTTGGCTTTTAGTAAACTTTATTTTTATTTTAGTTCCTGTTTATTAACTTTTTTTCTTATCATCATTAAAATTTTATTATATTTGATTTTTGTTCCTATAAGAAATATTGAAATTTTATTATATTTGATTTTGTCCCTATAATAAATATTTTTTTCTTTGCTTTTAGTAAAAAATTTTGTTTTTTTTTGTTTCTATTTTGTGATATGTTTTTATTTAGGTTATTAAAGTTTTATCATATTTGATTTTTATCCTTACTATACTAAAACTAAATAAAGTTTCGAGTGTCCTAAACTTTTTTTCTTTTAGTGAAACTTTTCTTTCTATTATAATTCATGTTTTGTGATTTTTTTCTTTGGTTTAGTCATTAAATTTAGTAGAATTTTATTTTTGTTTGAGTCCATGTTTTGTAATTGTTTTTTATTTTGATAATTAAATTTTTATTATATTTATTTTTTTCCATACAAGGAACTACTTTTTACTTTTAGTAAATTTTTTTGTTATGTTTTGGTTTTTATTTTGTGATCTTTCTTTTATTTTGATCATTGAAGTTTTATTATATTTGATTATTATTTTTTCTACTCTAAAATTAAATACAGTTTCACTATTCTAAATTTTTTTTTTTTGGCTTTTAGTAAAAAACATTTTTTATTTTGGTTCTTATTTTGTGATTTTTTTTTATTTTGATCATTAAAATTCTATTATGTTTGACTTTTGTTCCCGCCTTATGCATGATTATAAGTGTTTTTTTTTTGGTTTTAGAGTGAATTTTTTTTTATTTTAATCCTTCTTTTATGATAATTACTTTGTTTTGATTATTTAATTTTTATCGTGTGTAATTTTATCTCTATTTTGTTTTTTACCAAATTCTCGATTTGACTAAGTTTTTTGATCTTTTTGTTTTGGGTGATCTCTCTATCTCATTAACAAATTACAAATGAAGAATATATGATAAAAATTAATCATCTAAAATTCAAAAAACTATTATATTATTATTTTAGTTATCGGTTATTATACACATTTCTAATAAAATACATGTTTATATGAAACAATATCTAATTAGCAACTTTATATTACTTGACTTTACAGATTTTTTATTTAACTAATCCTACAACAAAATATGAGATATATGTTTTAATTTTTTTTAATATTTTTTTCGTGTGATTCTTTTAAATAATTAAATTTAAATTTTATATTTTATATGAATGAATATATAACAGTGTTGTACAGCTCACCCCGCGTGTTATGTATGCTAGTGTATATATATATATATATAAATAAAGTCGTCTTAAATTTTTTCCAAAAAAAAAAAAAAAAAAACCCACCTTTGGAGCTTTAAATTGCCTTCTTCGGAGAGAAGGCACTGGCCATCTCAGGAAGAAGGAAAATACACAGAAGATACAGGAGGACAGGGCAAACTGTGAACAAACTTGTGAGAAAAAAAAAGGATAATATGAAAAAGAAGGAACCTTTGGAAAGAACCAAAGTAGTGATAAGGCATTTGCCTCCTTCTCTTTCACAATCTAATCTTTTCTCTCAATTTGATCGTCTTTTTTCTCATCGCTACAATTGGTTCTACTTCCGCCCCGGAAAGTCCAGGTCTCTTTCCTTTATTATCATCTTTTTCTTTTTTTGATAACGAAAATATTGTGTATGGACTAAAAAGATGTTAACTTTTCAATATTAGTAGAGAGTTTCTTTAATTTTGTGATGATCCCTTTGAATATGGAACATGGGTGTTGCATTTTTGTAATTTTTTATGGTGATTCATTTGAGAGTTAAGGATATTTATTGATATGGGAATTTGTTTTTCTGAGAAAATTAATGTTTTGCAGCCACAAGCATCAGAGGTATTCTCGAGCTTATATTGACTTTAAGAACCCAGAAGACGTTTTAGAGTTTGCTGGTTTCTTTCATGGACATGTATTTGTCAATGAGAAAGGTACTTCGGCAGCTAGTCTCTCATAAATTGCTGGAAACTTTTGCCTCTCTCATCTTAGTTGATGACTGTCATGTTTTTATCACATGTGCTAAGTTTTGGGATTTACTACTGCTTATTTTGAAGGGACCGCATTATAAATTGTGAAAGCTTAATCCTTGGTAAAAGCTTAGAAACATGTTTATTCTGTTTTAAAACTATAAAGGGTTTGGTGTTCTATTTTGATAGGTTCTAACGTGTTCCATTTTGTTAAATTGTATGTCATTGACTCGTTTCTATCTAAGAGTTATAAGATTTGGAGTGTATTTGTTAAGTTTGAAATTTTGGTTTCATTGAAGGTTCTCAGTTCAAGGCCATTGTTGAGTATGCTCCTTATCAACGTGTTCCTAAGCGATGCACTAAAAAGGATGATCGTGAAGGGACCATTTACAGAGGTAATCTTTCTTTTTCTCTTCTCTGGTACCCATTCTGTTATTTTAGGTGCTATGTGGGAATAACTCATACTAACATGGACTTTTGCATATGGCTGAATGTTTTGTGTTAATTATAATTCTTTCTAAAACTAGATCCTGATTATCTGGAGTTCCTCAAACTTATTGCTAAACCTGCACAGAATCTTCATAGCTCTGAAATTCAGTTAGAAAGAAAAGAAGCAGAGGAATCTGGTCAGTTATAATGCTCACTTTCTTTACATGCGGTCAAATGTTTAATTACTTCAACTATTGGTTAATCACGAGGGTTTATTTTATGAAGAAATTTGTGCTTAAAGGTTTATCCGAAAAGTTAAACTGATGGTGTTTTTTAACCACTTAATATTTTATCAGAGGCTGCCAAAAAAGCTCCTATTTCTACACCCTTGATGGAATTTGTTCGTCAGAAACGAGCTAATAGGGGTGGAAGCAAGGTGCATTTCAATCGTACTATCTTCAACTTTCTTTGTATGGAGGAAAATCGGATAATTCTATAAATTCTGTGAAGCATTATCCTGTTGCATATATGTGTTATTAAATGTCCAATGCCTTTTGACATTCCATTTGCAGCAATCTTGCATTGTTCAATGACATTTCCTGTGCACTTCATTATATCTGTATGCTTCTTGCACTGGAAAACATTTTCAGGATTTGCAATTGTTTTCCAGCATGCTTGCTGTTTTTCTTTTACCTTTGATATGTGGACTATGTTTCATATCACTGTGACAGATTAGGTGCAGTAGGTATTGTAATGAGTTAAGAAAGAGAGGTAATGGCACAGGCCATTCTGTTTCTTTTATTATTATGTGATTGGAGTTTCAACATACTGGAATTTTGAATTGTCTATATTGTAATTAAATGCTGAAATGGGAAGACATGTTTTCAAATATTTTACCAAGCCTTACGTAGCTATTCAAATTTGTATTATCAATATTTACTCGTCTAACTATCAGTAAATGCGTCCATCAGGGAAAGATTCTATCCATCAAATGGAGATACCAGTAAAATTGAAATGGCCTGTTTAAGTTTGATTATCAGCTACTAATAATGATCATAAATGCTCAAAGGAACTAAAGGCAATTTGGTATTTCAAAAGATTATAAGGAACTGTCTTCTTCTTCTTCTTCTTTTTTTTTTAATCATCTCATTTCCTCTTACGTTTTGGACTGAGACTTTTCTAGTAAGATGTTATTCGCTTTATAACATTATTATCTTAACAAACTCTACATTGATGACAATTTGATTTCGTAGGGTTCTGCTGTTGTTAAGGATAGGAAAAGAGCAGGGTCAGCATCTCTGACCAATTCTAGTTCGAATAATACCAAACGAGGCTCTGCTAAGAAAAAGGTATTTTCCACAATCATAGCCAAATCTGTTTTAAGCAACAGCTATCAATGTTAGGAATAGTGTGCTTGCTGTACCTTATTTTTCTGTCGTGATTTAGTCTGTAGTTAACTGATGGATGGCGTGATTAGTTATTGGCTTTAACATTAAACTAGTAAATTATTTTGGAGATTTAAGTTCAAGATGACATAATCCTTATGCCAGTTCATATTATTTCATCTGTCATTGCGGGTTTGGATGTGAGTGCTCAGAATTTTTACCTTAAATTGAGTGCTTTCAACTTGTTATATTCTCCTTATATACTTTTCTGTTTGATTGATGATATATTCCAAAGGGAAAAAACAAGAATGCTAATAGGAAGGACAAGTCAGTTATCATTGTGGCTCGTAGGAATGAAGATCAACCTACTACTTCAAGTGGGAAAGAATCAAAAGTTGAATCCAGTATGTTGTTGTTATTATTATTATTATTATTATTATTGACATTAACAATAGTATTGCAATGGCTAACAGAGTGCATTGCTTGCATGCAGTTTTTATTTGTCACCTAACTGAAAGAAGATCCTTCTGAAAGTTTTGTGCATTCTATAATTGCTTTTATTGTAGTATTCGATCTTGAATCGACGAAAAGCTATAAAATGGTTGTCAGCGAAGTTAAATGTGCATGCATTTACTAAACATGTGAAATGTGAAACTCTTGGGAACCCAACTTTGCAAATCACTAAGTTTTGAACTTGAATAACTACTAAAATGATTTTCATGAGATTCCTTCCTTAGTTTGTTTAAATGGGTTTGAGCAAGTCAACAGGTCATAAATAGTAATATTTTTTTAAGAACGGGTTTTCCTTTGTTCTTTATTTTCCCTTCAGGGATGGTAATTCCCTATAAGTTGTCCTGTAAACAATTACCTTTACTGTAAACAATAAATGGACAGGGGAAATAAAGAAAGAATGTAATCTATTAGGAAACAAGAGTTTATAGAAACTGAAATAAACATTGAGTTTAAAACTAATTTTAATAAGCTTAGCAAACAAAGGAAATTTTTTTTCCATGCATTTGACAGTGATCTATGATGGAAGATGTTGAACAAGTTCTTTTCTGTTGTGATAATATCACCATGGCCAATGGCACAGGGCTCGCCATTGTTCTGTTTGACAACTGTTCGGAAGTATTTATATGTCATGTTGGTCTGCTTCCCTTGGAAATGATATGACAAGATGTTGAACAAGTTCTTTGTTGTCTGAAAGAAATTTCAGGGAATTTAAGGATCTTTGGTGTGTATGTGTTTTCCATTTGCAGTTTCTGGTGTTCAAGGTTCTCCTTCTAAAATTTCTCTGGGTGCCGAGTCTGGAAAGAAAAAAAAACTGCTTCTCAAAGGAAAAACACGTGAAATATCTCTTGTAAGATATTTTTAATATTCTTCTCATTCTCATTTGATGCTTAATTGGCAATCTTCATTGTCTTCATGTGACTTCTGCCCTTGTTGTGTACACGGATGCACACACACCCCCAAACCACTCAGCATGGATGATCTCCATGTTTTTTCTTTTTTTTTTTTTAATTTTCGTGTGGACTTGATAGAAAAGTAGTCACATCTTTCCTGATGCTAGGACTAATGCATTTTATTGCTCAGGAATCTGAGGGCATGCTGCAGCAGTTGGGCCTCACAACTAATGTTAGAAGTTCTGTTTTTACTGCTGCTAAACAGTATCAGAGGCCTGAAGCTAGTGAAAGGCCAAACAAAAGTATTCTACCTTCGACAACTGCCTGGCCCCCGAAGAAATTTCAAAACCTGGAGGTGGAGAATGACAAGCTACCAATTCAGCCCAAGACCACAGAAATGGGTTTGAATGGTCATGTCCCTTACAGCGAGCCACCAGCATCTATTTCTGACAATGGTGTAAAAAGGAGTTCAGATGATAAGCTTGTGAAAAAGGATCGACATGGTTTGACCTCTCATATCGAGAAACGAGAAAAACCTATAAGAAATAAGGATAGACCAGATTGTAGAATTTGGACTCCCCGTCCTGGCAAACATGGCAATGTGGAACAGTTGGCATCCTCTGTATTGCAATCTGAAGTGCATTCTGATTTTGTTCGAGGTATTTTCCATCTCAGTGCATGTTCTTTTGTATAGTCCTGTATGAGATATGGATATAAGATTAACAATTCCTTAGCAGGGATACATAACGACTTTTGTCCATTTTTCCAGCTACACGTGGAGAAATAAAAGATGGTACTCAATACAAGGACCTTAATGGGGAATCAACAGGCCCAACTAGTGGAAGCAATAATTCTTCTGCAGAGAATGGTAAGTTTTCCTCTAAAATTTAAGTTGAGTGTTGGGTGCATTCAAAACTTATTCTCACACATGCAATTAATCATGGCAGTTCAGATCCATGTTGGCCAGTTAAATAGAACAAGATTCTTGTTGTACATGATATCAACAATTCACATGTAATGCTGTATCTATCAGCGTGTATGGTGCTTACAGTCTACATCACCATTAACTAACAATTCTCTTGTTCTCTCAGAACTTGTAGGATATGCCATGCACTAGCATAACATGAAGCATAAAGGAAATTTGTAAAAGTGATAACTCTGGATTATTCTTTTCTCTTTCTAAATTTCTTAATTTGGATAGTAAGGGTTGGCAAATCTAGAGGTGGAACTTTAGAAGCCTTTTCAACAATTACTTAATGATAATATGTTCATTTGAGTTGTTTAAATTCCATTTAATTTGATTTTATCCAGGCTCCAGTAGAAATTTTAGTCGTCACATGGTAGCCCATGAAAGGAAGCATGATGGCTCCCCTAGTGCAACTGGGCGAAAATTTTCCAGAAAAGGTCCTGCTGGCTACAATGCCCATGAGGTGTGCAAAATTTGTGTTAAGCATCATGGACTATGACCCCTTTGTATTATGTCTAGGAGTTGAATTATGTCTTTGGGTTTTGCTTTGCAGAAACAAGTATGGGTTCAGAAGTCATAAGGTTCTTAAAATCACTCATCTGGCTTATATCTGGTAAGCTTATATCTATATCAATTTCGTGAATACCATTTTTATGTTTCAATTATAGCTATAATACAGAAGATACCTGTTAGCTTTATATTGAAAATCAAAGAGGAACTCTGAACAAAATGCACAAGAAAATTTATTGAAGATATAGAGCCTTAACAGCATTTGAACTGTTCCATGAAATTGTCCACCCCACCTAGCTGAATGTTAAAAAATAATGATGAAGGAAGATATGTCTTGTGTATTTAGCATTTTCTATCATCTGAGGATAACGATTATGATGATGATAATTTAACTATACTTGTGCCCACCAATTTCCACATCAGGACAATTTCACATACTCTCTCAGAAAGGAAACATAAAAAATGAAAATGCTGGGAATATGTAATTTTGTAACACAGTTGAGATGTTGGGATATAAGATAAGCTTATATATAGTCCTCATATGAGATTGATTACCATCTCCTAACTTCATGTGGTTGGACTAAGGAGATGTCAGGCTCCACACTTTCAAATGGGAAAAGCCCTATGCGATTAAGAATTTGAAAGTGACCTACTTTTCCTTTTGCAATGTGTATGTGTTTTGCATCTTTCGCAGAGTGGAAGAATCAAGACAAATGGGTTAGCTTTTGTGAAGTGTGGATAGGAAAATCTACTAAAAATTAATCCAAAAATGAAGTGGATCTTACAATTCATAGATGATATTTTGGTACTGGGCTACTGGTGAGAATAAACAAGCCAATTACAAAACTATCATTCATCAGAGAATGATGTCACCATGCTTAGCATAGATGTTTATCTAAATAGTTATCAATACTAAACAATTTAGCTGCATGCAAGAAACAACTTTTTTTGGAAAAACCAAAAAAAAAAAAAACTAAGATCAGTTTGTCAAGAACCCTGCAACAATTTTTTTTTTTTTAAAGGAAAATGGAATGACGTTTATAATAACAGAGAGAGAGAGAGAGAGAGAGATCCTTGTTCTTTTTTTCTTTTTAAGATCTATTTTCATCTGTAACGATGATAAGTATTGGCATAACATATTCAGAAAAAGTGGTGGTGATTATATTTTGAAAGTTCTGATTTCTGGTGATATTCATTTGTTGAGTTGCAGCAGATGTGGATAGTACCATAACCAATGCCCTGATGTACAAAGTTCCCAACAGTCAGTCACACTGCTGGACTGGAACTATGAAACAATCTGCATGATGCATAATTGTGATCTCTATTTCCATGCGTATCTCATAAGACACTGTTAATATTCTGTAGTACTCATTAGCTTGCAAGTGATTGTTGTTTTCTGTTTCATATGTAGCAGTGAATTGTATTACCATTTGAATAACTTGATATGGAATGTCCATCTTAGATTCCATTGTTTAAAATTGATTGCTCCCTTTTCAGGTAGTCCAGAATTGCCATTTGCTTCACCTGGAACCAGCTTTAGCCCTTTTCAGTAGTTACAGTTCATTGCAAGGTCTTATATGGCTTATTGGAGTTTGAGTTACTGTACGATACTGGAATTACTTCTGTCAGATAATTCAATCTTGGATATATGTTCAGAAGTAATCAAATATAGCTGGGGATAGTTTTTCCTTTCGAAAGGAGCCATGCGATTTCTATGCGGGCTGCTTAGTGCAAGGTCTCTACCAGTTCCATGTATTAATCGTTTTGAGAAATTATGAGTTAGGCTGGATACTGGCACCTGGCTTGTTGGTTAAGTTGATGAATTTTGTGGGCTTCATTTCGCACAGCTTGTGCTTGTTCTGCTACGGCTACACAAGGTTCAGGGCTTATCTGGGTCAAGTGCTTGTTTTCTTCTGCTGCAAATGGAAGTATGCTACTAAATGCAACAGCGTGCTTTGCTTTGCACCTGGGATTCCAAATATAGGCTATACGTTTGACGGCAGCTGAATTTAAAACTGGTGCTAGTGAATCTGGCTCTGGATGCCAGAAAGAATGCTGCAGGCTTATTGTCAGATGTTTTTGCTGGTTTCTACTGGCGAACATAATTGAGCGTTTAGAGAAGCTAATGTTGTTATACATGGTTGTGCTTTACAATTATAAACATAAATCAAAGTTGTAATAGAAAGGCTTTTCTCACTGCTGTTGTTCTTGGAGCAATACTTGAGCCGGTATGAGGGTGGTAATGGTAAGAAAGGTGGTGATCATTTTCTTTTCCATTAGGTCTTCCCAAGCATTCATCCGAGCCTTGGTTACCAACACTTTGACAGGCAGAACAGAATTTATACTTAAGCTGAAGGAAACAACGATGTTCCTTATTTATTTTTGTTTTTTTTGTTTTTTTTCGTAAATTTCAGCAAGCAAAAGAGCAAAATAGGGAGTAAAACATAAATTAGTCCCTTTAGTTTTCCAAAGGAATTAAATGGTCCCTCCAGTTTCAATAACTAATTAATTAGTTTCTATATTTTTAAATCTATTTGTAACTCAATTCTTTCATATTTTTTTTCAATCTATTTTGTTTTCTTGTTTTTTTTTTTTTAAATAAATAGAAAAAAAGAAGTAAAAGATATGGGAAGATTATGAAAAAAAGAATATTTTTTTGAAACAAAATAATATTACGGTAATCATAATCAGCAATAGTTACGCAACCAACTAATTGATTTTTAAAACAAAAAGAAACTATTTAATTTGTTTTGTAAATCTAGAGGAAATAATTATAGTTTACTCCAAAACAGGAGACGAGGATTAAACCAAATTCTTCACAACAGGGTAAAATGAACATAGTTAGCCAGACAAAACTATGACGAAGAACCCTCCATTCAGTGAGTCACAATAAATAATGATATTGATTTGTCTAAGAGAAAAGTACACAGTTCCTTTTTATAAACATACTTGAAAAGGACATAAATAACAGTAGACATATAGCCCAAGTGTTACCTACAATAGTGGACCTTCACATTTTGAAAGGCTGCTTGTATCAGATCTATTGCCTTTTGTAAAAATAGAAACACAGAAATTGTACTCAAATTCCTGAAATGTAATCTATGGAATTTGAACAATTTCCAACAATATTTTATGCAGGGACTGAGGTTTTGAAAAGAATGGGCAGTGGTCACTTCCTTTAATCTTGAAGACTCTTTCTGGTGGGCTCTCCCTCACTAGCTTTTCTTGGACATCTGGGGAAAGAGCACGATCGTCCAGTGTCTGAATGAAGAACCGCCGGCCAGTTCCATATTTTTCAGGGGATAATGACAGCTTCTCCATTATAGGACCAAGTGGAGTGGGTCTCATCGAAACCATGGCCAATGCAACATCCTGAAAGTACCAAATTTCCAAATTGAATTTTACTGGCAATACAAAAGGTCAAATTGTCGCGAGAGTAGAGACAGATCAAGTTCTTTGTAGACTATTGTAGGCTTGTATACTCAACTAGGAGGAACTTGGAATTAGCCAAGGTAGCTGGAGAACATTGGCCATATGGATGCCATAAAACGTTGAGCACTATTTTGCATATTATTTTGTATCGAGGTATCGGAACATAAAATCCGTTGCAAAAGTGGCTGGTTTTTCCAATGGAAAGTTTCCATTGTTATAGAAATTATGGCAATATGATTGGATAGATTTGTAACATACCTTTGTTGGTGATTGATTGAAATATAAACCTTTCATTTGCTGTTTCTCAAACATAAATCCTGTAGGAGGCTTGTCTTTACCATTTCCATAAATCAGAAACTGCGATTCTTGCATAAAACGTTCTGCAGATCCAAGCTGAAATAAAATTCTCTCGTTAGAAGATTTACTCAGAATTGAAAGCAATAAAAACTGTTCAATAGAATCATGTTAAAAAAAAAAAGGGTCACAATTTTAACACAAGACAATTATAAAGGTAAAGGTTTTGTCACAATTTTTTCTTTTCCGAACCCCATTCCAGTGGGACCAGAACTACAATTCTCGGCCTTTTATAGAAGCTCTTAGCTCTGTTAGGAACTGATTAGAGCATGCAATCCCAACCTTTAAGAATAGTCAGGTTTTAGGAATAGTTTCAAGGAGCAGATTAGGAAGCTTCCCATCTGAGATACGATGTTGACATAAGCAATTAGATAGATAAAAAGTAGCTAGATAACACAGAATCATACTGCAGTTTCAGCATCAGATGTGAGAATCTTGGTCATCACAAAATAGAGGAAGCATGCTCATCCCAGGGATATTACATCTAATCCCACAAAAATGCATACAATGCATAAATGATGAAAGTTCGGAGAACTTTCTCTTCCATAACAAGGGTCACAAACTTAAGAGTCAACAGTTCTGCAAAGAAGGTAGCTTTACAGTTGTGGCTCAAGGACCCGAGAATGAAGCCAAATAAATTTGGCTTTCTCCTTTCTATATCAAGAAACCACAAATACAATTATTATTTTTTATTTTTGCTGGCTGCAAACAAATACTATTATTTGAACTCATTCAGACTCTTCTTTTTTACCTTCAGTTATTATAAGAATTAAACCCCTCTTAACCCATCTCCTTCAAAATCCATGAATAGCATGGCAGAAATACAATACGTTATAGCAAATTCGGGAATATTAATGACGTGCCACAGGTAGCAAACCATTATGATTTTATTAATTGATCAACATTTAATGAAGCTTAATAGAGTTTTGCATAGACTAAGCAAGTAAGCTCTGATACTGTACCTCTTCAGCAAACACATCAAAAGGCCTCTGACCATCAGACACCATTGTAGCACAGAGAAAAATAGCTTTCGAGATCTTTTGGGGGAAATGCTCAAGTGCATAAGAGACACAAGCACCTCCAGTACTATGGCCAACCAAAATAACCTGCACATGAATAATACATAAAAAAATATTGCAAAGTACAAACGGGCAAAGTACATGGAAGGTTAATAGGAATGATGGGGATAAGATGGCTATCACTTACCTGTTCATCCTCAGGCAAGTTTTCTAAATAACTAATCAATGGTTTTGAGTACTCTTCCAATGTTGAGACACTATTTGTATCTGCCAGATCAATACCTGATCCTGTTAGATCTATGGCAATAGGAACCAATCCTGCTTCCTCCAACAAAGCAATAGTTTTGTACCAACACCATGCTCCAAAACCTTCTCCATGCACCAGAACAAACTTCTTTAACTTTATGTTCTCCAGAAAGTCTGGTGCCTGAAAAGAATTTACAACACAAATGAGATCATATCTGACAGCACCGTTAGGTTGAAAAGGAAATAAGAAGGCAACCAGTGACGATCAAAAACTGTGACAGATCGGAACACCATTTTTTCTGACATATTGCTTATGTATATCAATCAGGAAACAACAAACAGAAACTAAAAGAAAAATTAAGCACAACCGACTGGGGAAAATGCTTTATGCACCGTCAAGATAGAATTCAGATGTTCTACTGGGAATTATAAAATGAATAGCGTCGGGATTTTTTGTGTTTCAATAAAAACAATACAACACAATTAAGCTTATTGTCTTCGACACATAATAGAAGAGAAGTTTAAGCTAGTCAGTTAAACTTTAAACCTATTCAACAAGAACTCATTCTGCACAAACTCATTTATCTTTCTTGCAGAATAAGAAATTCTCCAAGTACAAACACTAGCTGCACTTCACTTTTTTCTATGTCGGAGCTGCAGCAGTGATGATAATTTTTCAGAAGTACCTTAACAGTACCAAAAACATTCAGAAATTGAACATTTCCATGGTAATTTTCACTACTTAACATAGCTTATGCATTTGTCAAAACTCATGCCTCTCCTTTAAGGTACAGCTCTAAACTTCCCAACTAGTCAGATTCATTTAGAAGCTCGTTTAATCCTCTTAGTGTAAGTTGCATAGGCTAGTACATTCCCAATAGACATACTATAGCTTTAGGGAATTAATAGACTGGTTTAAAAACTCGCTAGTCTAGGAGTAAGAGTGGACTTGAAAAAGAGCAGTAGTTCCAGCTAGCATTAACTATTAAAAAAATGAAAAAGTCGAATCCTCAAAGATTCTCTTTTGCTTCCATATTGGCCTTGATTGAAAAGAAAAGACTCTATGATCTTGAAGAGTACAGGGAATTAGCTGAACATACTTTTCCAGATGCACTTTTCAAGTAATCAAACAAACAAAAAGGTAAAAGAATCCCTTTCCCCTTCATGTTTTTTAAACAAATGCATTCATGAAACTTGACTGTTGACAAGGGTGCTTGCACTAATAATTTGGAAACTTTTCTCTCAACTATGAGCCCATAACTAATCATGTTTGCATCATCCACTTTCCATGTTAGATCCAATCATGTAAAGAACAATAATTAACTCACCAATCTTACATAAAAAAAGGAAACAAAGTAGCATAACCATGAAAAGCAAAAGTATCAAATAAATAAAAGTCTTTATAAAGAGCAAGTGAGCAACCTGTTTTCCATTAGAGAAAGGATCAGAAAGATTTCTTCTTCTAGAGCTTGTGGAACCAATCCTCCTGGACATGGATCCATCAAATCTCTGAGACAATTGGTGCTGTTGCAGTGCCATAGATAGAGCTTGTCTATGCAAGAACTCTTCCTCTGCCAACATCTTCCTTTGAGACCTACCCATTCTCTTGCTTCTTGATCCATGATTATCTCTGTTGTCCTTCTTTGTCATGCAAATGAAACGATTACCCATTATTGCAAAACCTCTTTCTTCAACAACCCAGAAATCTTGGGAGGTAATTTTGAGTTCTGGCAGCAATCAAGCAAGAGAAAGTCAAGAAATTTTCATGGAAAGTAGCATGTTTTTCTGCCAAAAAAAAAAAAAAGAAAAAGAAAAAGGGATGGTATTCTGTATGACAGCAGAGAGGTTCATAAATGATTTTTTTTTTTAATTGTGTTTACTTTGGAATATTAGAGACAGAGTAGGTGGCAGTGAAGATGGGAGAGAGGTGGAGGAGAAGTTGGCTATAAATGCCAAAATAAAACTACTGTCACCCTTCAACTGAAATGTTTTGCTATTTAATGTTTTCTCACTCTTTTCTCTTTGAGTTTTCAACGGTAGGGAGTCTTTTCATCACCCTATCTGTTTGCCTACCAAGTAGAAACTCGAACAAAACCCAAGTCAAAAGTTCGTGTTTTGTTTTTTTACTAATAAGTCTTCCCGTGCAAAACCTGTTACAAACTTGGATAGAGCTAGGTTGGAGGTTGGAACATGGAAGATGGGGACACATCCTTGTACGGTTCGTTAAGGTTTGCATACTGCAGCTGTCACGCATGGCCATGATGTCCTTGCTTCTAGGTATGGTCACTAGGATTTCACCAGTCATGCTCAAACATTTACTCCATGAAACAGTTCCCATTTTTGCGAGATTCTTCAAATTTTTTACTGTTTTATGTTTTTGAAGTTCTTAACAGGCCATGTTTTAAGTCAAAACTAATTCCTTCATCCACAGGCAGCATGATCTTAATTTAAGTTTTGGCTGGCTGGCTTCAGCCTGAGAGGACAAGGGAATAATAAAATATATTAGAAACTTTTTATATGGATTAAAACACCAATAATTTTTTTTAAAAAAAATAATGTGCAATTTTTTATTTTTGTCAATTTTTTTTTATAAAAACCATTTAAATTAACTTTTTGGGTTTGGACCTTGACATGTTGCTTAGATATATCTCTCCAAGTGTTTTCCTCAGTAAAAAAAAAAAAAATGTTTTCTGTGTCTTTTTATTACAAAAAATAAAAAATAAATCGGAAAGTTATAATCTAAAAAAGTCATGCACAGGTAGCCAGCAGGTAGGATTTGGCCAAAAACACCTTTCCTTGAGGAAAAAGACTGATGATGAGTGATGACTCAGTTTTGGGCCGCTAGTCAAAGCTTGAGATTAATTAATCGGGTTGAGCTTGGATATAGGCCCAGTGGGCTAATCAACAATGGATAAAAAAGTGGTCTCTGAGCCCGACCCAATTGAACTTGATTAATTCATCAAAATATATCAATAATTTCCAGTAAAGTTTGGTTGGTTAATCAAAGATTCAAGCAGGGTGAAGTTTGAACCCATTACTGTTTTCAGCTCTCAGACCAACCTAAATGCTTTACCCTAAATACAGTGTGAGCTTTGTATAGAAAGGACATCATCAACCTTGTAGATTTACACAGCTATTGGGAGTTCCATAGTTTTAACTTTTACATAAATAAATCAAAACGTTAATCATTTGCGCAACATTCAAACCATGCATGAAATTGATAAATAAATAAATTTCTTATCTTAAGCACAAGATAAATCTCGTAGTTTACAATTTAATCGTTCTGATTTTTACTTTAAGTGTGTGTATATATATATATATATATATATATATATATGCAATGACAACTCAAATCTCCATTTAAAACATTTCTTGACTTTTGTTTTAATACATTTCTAAAACCCACTAATAAAATAGTTTTATTAAAAAACTTAGATGTATGAGTTAAAAAAAAAAAAATAAGTTATAAAATTTCAAATATAAAGGACTAATAGGAATGGTAATAGGGCAGGGCGGGGGTGGGTATAGCCATCCCCCTCCCTGCCATCCTCCAAAAATATTTGCCCCATCCCCACCCCATATTTCATTTGAGGTGAAAGTTTGACTATTATTCCCATCTCAAATAAGGCGAGGCGGGGCAACGATAGGGTGGGATAAATTGCCATCCTTAATGACTAACATATAATTATATTAAAAATATAGAGTATAAAGAATAACAAATAAGAAAGAAGTTTTCATCTTTTGTAATAAGAGGTTACAAATTCAAATCTTAACATAGTAATTTTACTAAAAAAAACTTGAATGTGAGTTTTTTTTTTTTTTAAATGAATGAGTTATAGAATTTCAAATGTAAAGAACTAACATGTAATTATATTAAAAATATAGGGTCTAAAGAATAACAAACAAGAAAGAAGTTTCCGTCTCTGGAGTCTTTGGTCTTGTACATACTAGAAATTTTTATATACCTCAATTGATTAAAGACCCCTTTATCTGCTCTCTGTCTGTCTTTCTCGTACCGACCAAGTAAGTAATCTCCTTACCTTATCTTACACGACGATCAAAGTTTTCATTTGTATTCTTTCATCTGCACTGTTATGTTTGCCTTTGGAGTTTTGAGTTGATAATTCCCGTGGGTTCTCTTTGTTTGGTTTGGTTGCAGAGGTAACAGTTTATAAGAAAAAGGAAAAGACTTTACCTTTTCTCTTTCTTGAATCTTTTATCATGTGGGTTTTACTTATTTTGAAATTACAAATGAGATTTGAAATTTTGTGATCAGGGTTGCTTGTTTCTTTGGTTGATTTTGGCTCTGTGGGTTATATTGATTGATCTCTCACTCTCTTTGTGATTATGTTATTTTGATTGTGGATGTTTTCATTCATCTGAAGTTAATGAATTTTATTTAAAACAAACCATGCTTTAAACGGTGTTTTTTGAATATATAACATGGGATTTGGATTAATAACCTTAGTCACACGCTAAAGTGAAGAAAATTTGTACCAGCAGATTAATTTAAGCACTGTTCTTGATTGTGTGGAATTGTGGAGTAGCTTTTTTATTATAATTACTTTATGGATATAGATAGTCTTATAAGGTTTGCTTGATATTCGAACATAACAAGCTTGTTTGAGCATAACCTGTGTGTGATTGGTGCATTGCCCCTTATAAAAATGAAATTCCCTGACAGACAGCGTATTAACATTTATATGTTGTAGGTAATCTGATCTTGCATGATGGGTGGAAGTGCAATAGATGATGATTGGGAGCTTGCTTCCCCATCCAACGGGGTTCGGACAGTTGTTTTAGTTGGACGCACTGGCAATGGAAAAAGTGCAACTGGTAACAGTATTCTTGGAAAAAAGGCCTTCAAGTCAAGGGCCAGTTCATCTGGTGTTACCAGCACTTGTGAATTGCAGAGAACTGTATTGGGAGATGGTCAAATTATCAATGTCATTGATACTCCTGGTATGGATGGTATTTTGTGTCGGTCATTTGTTTAAGGTACATAAAACTAACTAACAAATTATCCATTGCAGGACTCTTTGATTTTTCTTCTGGATCTGAATTTGTTGGCAGAGAAATTGTCAAATGTATTAATATGGCAAAGGATGGGATCCATGCAGTCCTTGTAGTTTTCTCAGTTAGGACCCGCTTTTCACAAGAAGAAGAAGCAGCCCTTCGCAGCTTGCAAACTTTGTTTGGACGTAAGATACTTGACTATATGATTGTAGTCTTCACTGGGGGAGATGAGCTTGAAGATAATGATGAGACCTTAGAAGATTATTTGGGTCGCGAGTGTCCACAACCTTTAAAGGTTAATCTTTTTTGTCTTTTTTACCTATTACATTTATGAATTGGAAATTTAGTGTGATTGTATTTGTTACTTTAGCTTATTGTGAGTTGTACAAGAATTGCATCTCAAGAGTTTTAGCTCCTAACAGTCTGGAAGATTAATGGTGTCATTGCTATGTTGTATTTGATCATGTAGCATACAGCTCCATGTTGATTAGAGGTGAAAGTTTGCATATGCTCCCATTTGGTGGTCTCCAGAGAAAGTTGTTTAAGGCTGCAAAATTTAAAGCTTAAGATGCCTTAGGGCTCTTCAGCAAACTAAATTTTAAAGATGTTATCTATGTAAAGCTGGGAAAATTTGTTTATATTGTGAAGTTATAGGAATATATTTATTTTACTAATAATTTTACTAAATGATCAATTTAGATCTTCCCTTACGTCATTCTTTTCTATTCACCACTCCTTTTCTTATTGAATAATTCTTCCTTAGAGTTTTCTTTACCTTATCTCTTCTTCTTTTTTCCTTTTCTAATTTCCTTTGTCTTATTCAGTCCCCGTTCTGTGGCTTTCTTTCAGTTAGCAGTAAGTATAATAAATATCGTGCAAAAGTTTTGTACTTTTCTTAATTAAATCTATACTATGATTTAATTTTCCAAATGTGTTAGTAAAAAATGCTACAAGAATTGAACTTGCTATTTTTTGTAAATAAATAGCAAGATGTGGACTTCTGCCAAATCATATAGATCCCAATGCTCTTGGTTGGTGTGCCAATATTCTGTGTTATAAGATTTTTTATTGCAACCAGCAAACTTGATGCCTATGATGTGAGTTTTTTAGATTCAAGGTTATTTCCATTGCATTCTTTATCGTTTACATGATTATTAATGCTATTGAGTTTGAACATAACTTGTTGTGAAGTTATAGATAAGACAGATTTACAAGATTTGAACTATTGATAAATCATGAAGATCCAAATGCTCTTGGTTGGTTTGCTGCTATTTTGTGCTAAGATACTTTTATTGCAATTTTACCAACGTTATGTTGTTGACATGATTGTTAGTGTTATTTAATTTGAAAAAAAGGTATAAATGCAAAACTCACTATGTGCAGTGCAGCCTTATGAAGAAAAAAAGTCTCTTATGGCCTTGAAATTTTAAATAGAAAACTGTACTATATGTAAAGGGGCTAAGAGTCTTGAGATCTAGACTGGAGAACTCTTGGCTGGCCAGTGCTGATCATGCTTTAAGTCCTTGAAAATGTTATTAGCTAGTTTGAGAGGTATCTGACATTTGGTTGAATGAGCCTAACTAGTTTGTCAGTTTGCTGATAAATTGACTGTAAGATGAACATCTTTTGAAATTCTATTTTTTATTGGTTGTCAAGAAAAATGAGGATAATATCAATAGATTTTGTCAATGTTGAAAGTAATATTGTTATTCAGGTGAGAGATGGAATGTTGCTGCACTTGAGTTTTTGTCTAGATGTTTACCCCTAGTGATTAAGTGCAAGACATCTCATGCAAAATTTTGTAGTTTATTTAAACAATGACAATTTATTTAAAAAAATTATGCAGGAAGTTCTCATGCTGTGTGAGAATCGACAAGTTCTTTTTGACAACAAAACTAAAGATTTACTCAAGAGAGCTGAGCAGGTGCAGGAGCTTCTTTCCCTTGTAAACAGGGTCATAGAACAAAATGGTGGGCATCCATACAGTGATGAATTATTTGCTGAAATACAGGTGACTGTTTTATAAATTTTGGCAATTTTATTGTATTTAGTGTAAAATTTTGGGAGGTTAACTTGATTGATTTGACAGAAAGGGGAAATGAACTTCCGTGATCAACAAGAAGAGGTTGATTCCTTGAAAGGGAATGTTTCTATACGAGAAATATCAGATTTTCAGGAGCAGATGCAAAGGCAATATGAAGAGCAGTTGAAACGAGTAACTGAGATGGTAATCCTTGATTCCCTTGTTTTTACAGACTTCCCATGTGTTCTTGCTTTAGCATCTGAACATTTAAGAGGCTTTATAACAATTATGTGCCTATTATGGTTTTAGAAGATCTTTCTCAGCAAAATTCAAGATTCATTTATTCCTTAGGAAATCCTTATTCTATGTTTAATGGCGCAGGTCAAACTCTCAAATTGTAATTGTATGATTATAAATATTAGAATTTTGTTGTGGTCAATTCTTGAAAGGGGTTCCTTGGTAAAATTGCATGCAGCCATTGATTGACTTCACAGTGCATTTAACATAGCTCAAGATTTGGAGACGGTACAGATACTCATGATTTTAATGAATAATGCAGTTGTTGTGGACAAATAATGAGCTCCTGCTGCAGTGAAAATTAAGTAGTGACGATTCAAATTAGCTATTTCTAAATGCAGGATTATTTTGAGAAAGAAACTCTTAATTGTGTAGATCTTGTCTCTCTGGAAATGAGCACTCAAGACATGATTGGGCAATATCTATGAAGCATAAATGATTTGTTACGGGGAATCAATTGATTTTGAAATTCTCATGTGCATCCTGTTTGAATAGAAGACTCAGCCTGTTCTAATGTTGTGATCTGAAATATGGTTCTTGTTTGGTATTTTACCATTATCCTTTTTGTATGAAATTTGGCTAACAGCATTAACTTTAAATAATTGAAGTGGCTTAATGTATAGTTAAAAGTTTATGGCTGCAGTTAAAATATCTCTGCAACATTGAATTTTTAATTGTTCAGATTCATGATTCTAGCCACTATGTGAAAGATGCCATGGATAGGACATGACTGGACCAATTTTAAGTTTTATCTTGCGTGTTTTTGGAAAGAAAGAGGGGAAAGGGGATAATGTGCTTCGTATTTTTGTTTCCTTTCCAGTCTCAGTATTGCATCTCTTCCCATATAGCCTCTACTGTTGAGCTTGTGGCTTTGTCCTCCCAATGGCTTCAACCAAATCTTTCTCCATGGTTTATTCGTAGGTCCTGGCCATGTGTGTGCGTGAGTATTGCGAACATAGGATTTCAACCTGCCTTTTGAAGTTGCTATTTTGAGTAGACGAGACAAGAAATATATTGTCTTTAAGAATAAAAATTATTCAGAGCTTTATATTGTAATGCATCTGTTAAAAATTAGAAAAAAGTAACATTCGTGGAGAGACTTGACCTGAATTAATTTGTTTCTCTGTGATCGGTTCTTAGTACATGTTTTGACTAGTTGAGAGAAATGAGATAACAAATGACTATTAAAGCATCCATTTTCTAGGAAAATGTAACGCCATGAACATTTTATGCTAATTTGGCTGGTCTAGTGTGAATGATCAGTTGTTTATCGATGTTAATGTTGTTCTGTAGGTTGAGTTGAAGCTTAAAGAGGCAACTGGTAATCTTGAGCGGAGGTTGGCAGAGGAGCAAGCTGCACGACTACGGGCAGAACAGACTGCACAATCAGCGCAAAGGAAATCAAATGAAGAAATTCGCATGCTTAGAGAGAGTCTAGAGAAAGCTCATGAGGAGCTCCGTAAGAAGGGAGGGTGTGCCATTCTATGAGGCATTTGACAGACCATATTCAATGGGTTGAAAACATATGAGAATGTTATTCTGTTGGGTGTTTATATTGTAGTTTATGCAGTCTTCTTACTGCAAGTGCTTTTCATGGCGCACTTGATGCTTGAATTGATACGGTGCCCAGTGTAAATGCTTACAATGCTGTTTAAGGATTTTAATCCAAGTAATATATGCATAATATTTGTCATCATCCTCTTTTTACCCCCATAAAGAAAATCCAAAAAAATAAAAAAATAAATAAAATAAAAAAGGGAGGAATTTGGCCGAGATCAGGATTGAAAAAGAAAGAAAAAAGAGGAGTGGGTTTGGATTAGGCATTAGGCTAGGCCTGATCAGAACAGAAAAAAAATCTTGGGTTAACCCAATAAGTACTCTTATAAATGCTAGGTAAACACTCACAAAAAAGGGGGAAAGAGGTTGACACCCAGATGGAAGGGAAAAAAGGAGAAGCAAAAGGCTGCAGTTGAAAGAAGTGGCGACACCCAGATGGAAGGGAAAAAAGGCGAAGCAAAAGGCTGCAGTTGAAAGAAGCTGCCACCTAGAAGGAAAAAAAAAAAAAAAAAGCCTAGCAGCCTAAAGAGAAGCAAAAGGCAACAGTCGAAGAAGCCGTCGCTGCTTCCAACTAGTCGACTTTGGTCAACATGCATTGGACCACCTGAATCGTCCATCAGAGACGATTGCAGCCCCACTTGAAGCGCTCCTTTACGAAGATGGAGAAGCCTTCACGCACCTCCTAAAGTTTCATTGTTGTTGCAGCCTACAGATCTAGTTTAGCCATCGTCGCTCCCAACCAGTTGACTTTCTATCAACACACGTCGGACCACCTGAATCTTCCACCAAAGACGATTGCAGCCTCATTTGAATCACCCAATTTCGATAATGGACCAGCCCTCACGCACATCCTAAAGTTCCGCCACTGCTGCTGCCCACATATTCAGTTTAGTCCTTAAATTTCAAATTTAGATAATTACACCTTTGCATTTTCATGTTTCTGATTTGATTGTCATCTGAATTTCTTGATTTTCCCTGGTTGTTTCTATGTTTCATAGGATGATAATATTAATTATGTGATTGATGGTGAATATTGATATGATTATTGAATTAAAATGTTTGATTAGGGGTATAATTGAAAGATCTGAAAACTTAAATACTAGGTTATGTGTGATAGAATAAAAAGGATCCAAATTCAAATTGTTTCGGTGTGTTACGTGTTTTAATGTTAAATTAAGCGAGGAATAGTGGATTAATGATTTTTTTTGTTTTTTTGTTTTTAATCTTGTCTTATTTTAGTTTATTTCTATTTTTATTTTTTCATCATTATTTTCAATAAAAAAAGGGTTATTTGACATATTATAAGCATTTATTTATTTTTAATAAGTTTTTGACAGATTGTTGATCAATGATGAAGCTAACAATAGACTAACAATTTTTTTTTTTTTTAGAAAATTAAAATAAACTAAATCTAAATTTATAGTTCGAGGACCTTGTGGAGGCCTATGACTATTTTATTTTTCATGAAGTCGTTTTTATGCGATTTGTGATTTTTTTACATGTTTCTATGTTTTGCACTTGATGTATTTATTTTATGTGATGCCGATCTAGATCGGTTTAGATAGAGTAGGTTTAGGACTTGAGATTGACTTTGTTCTAGTGATGGGCCTATTTCTTGCTATTTTATTTTTATTTTTTATAGCTTTGTTTATTGTTAATTTTAATCGATTTTTTATGGTGCTACTAATTTTATCTTCTTGCAGATTTAGTTCTTAATTTGGCCTTGGACCCAATTTTATATTTTAAAATGACATGGTAGGTGATATAGGCTTGAGGCCCATGTCTATTTTTTTAGTCATTACAAACTTGTAATTTTATCTTCTTTTTATTTTATTTTTTTATGGTTTGACAGATGAATTTGGGCCAAGCACATATTTATTTTATTTTTTATTTTTGCATTCCAAGTGGGACTAGAATTTAATGTGCAATGGACTTCGATCCCGTTTACCTTCCTAAATGGGCCCCAATGGGTTAATGACATTTTAGGTGAGAGACTTGAGTTTTATTTCAGTCTCCAAATCATCTCTCTTAAGACTTGATTAGAAAATGCCTAGATAGTCAAGCACGCAAATTAGAATAAAAAAATAATTTTGCATGAATGAATTCCCTTAAGCTAGAAACACAAGGTAACCTTATTGCGATGGCACTCTAAGGTGACTATAGTCTTTCCTAATTAAGTAATCAACCCGCTTACTTAGAACTCTTGAGACTAGTGTTAGGTTTTTCTTAGTTTTCATCTTTTTAAAAGCCGAATGGTGACTCCATATTTACACATAACATATGTTTATTTATTTTTATGATCGTCGAGAAGTCACCATATGACGTAATAACGACCTCACTACGGACTTAGGGATTAAGCCTATGATGTTTCTTACTTTAGGGAATTATCTTTGTTATATCTTGATATGCTTGTGCATTTTACTTTGATATTTGGACTTGTATATGACGTGTGACCTCTTTGCACACATTAAGACATACACAAGAATAACTATTTGAGCTTGCACACACTTTAGACCTTTTACCTAAGATTAGAATAAGGGATGTGGCACTCGAGTGATCGTAGTATCGAGCTTGTGCAACTTATCCCTCCACCCACATGAAAAATTTATCCTTGTGCATGAGACTACGAAGGGCAATATGGTAACCCTCATGTATGAGAATAGAGCTTCAAATATCTCTTACTATAGTTGAACTTAAGCCCATGATGTCGACCTTTGAAGAAGTTAGGTTAAGACAACCTTACCAAACCACGTTTAGATAAATCTAGAACCTATTCCTAAGATACCCTTAGGACAAGAAGCATACATTATTTGTTTTCTTATACGTAATACTCATAACATTATCTCACTTTAGAAGCATCATGGCTATCATGACTATAATTAATGGTGATTGCTTTGCTCTTTTGGATCAAGATACCATGCGTTTGTTAGTATAGTTTGGTATGGAACTAGCATCAATAGTAAATAACATCTTCATGTCTAGCCCACTATTGTCTTTAAAATCAGATTGATAGCTATGATGCTTCTTTCGGTTAAAGCATACTTCATAATCACACCTGACCACAAGTTCTCTTATGGAAGCACTCGCATCTTCTTAAGTTTTATACTTTACACATTCATCTCATGAGAAATATAGGTCGCATTGCAAAAGCTCAACCCACACCAAAGATCCATAATACAAAACTTAGGAGAAAGATGGAGAACGAAGAAAGAAATCAGCTCTCAATGAAGATGTGGCTCGAATAACCGGTTTGTTAAAACAAGTACTACAAGAAAAAGCAATAAATGAAGAAAACCCCTCACCTTTCCCATATCAAACATCGGGGTAACACAATTACCCTTTATGGTCGACCATTTTTTAACCATGCTTGCACTCCAAGAGGTATTTACTATCTTCACCTTCATCATACCTTAATACTCTATACCCATTTCGGTACTTCTAAATGGATCCACTAGTTAGCCAAATCGACTACCAATACCACAATTGGAGAGTCGATCAAAGAAAAAACTATTAAGAATGATAAACTTTAATTTATTGAGGAGCATTTAAGGAAGATTGAGGGTATGGATCTATATGACTCACAAAAAGCTATCGAAATGTGTTTGGTGCTTGATGTTGTCATCCTAAGAAAATTTAAGGTGCCTAAATTCACAAAATACGAGAGGTACCCAATGCTCAAAAACTCATGGTTGAGGTTATACATGCTTGAAGCTACTAATTCACTTTTTTCATGAGAGTTGGATGGTGCTTGTTCTCAATCGGTGCATATATCTTGATAGAGCTAAAATCTAAAGGTGAAAAGATATAATGGATGCATTTGTTTGCCAATACAAGTTTAATTTGGAGATGGCCTCGGATAGAACCATATTGCAAAATATGGAAAAGATGGTGAAAGAGCCCGTTGAGTATGCTCAAAGATGGCATGAAATGGCTACTCAAGTCCATCCTCCTTCGAGTGAAAAGGAGCTAATCTCTATGTTTGTCAACATCTTAAAGGCTCCTTATTTTGAGTATCTTATCGCAATTCATCACTTTCGTTGATTTAGTGGTTATTGTTGAGAGGGTGGAATAAGCTATTATAGTAGGAAAGATTTTAGAATCTAGTCCAAAAAGAACAATTTTAGTAGCAGGAAAGAAGTGATGTTCATCGGTTAGAGTCAATAAATTTTTTAACCCTAAGGGCGGTGGAACAATCAATGACACCTAAACCATCACTCTTTTTAGTTGAGAAATATAAACAATCAAGCACCATTTTTATATGCACCTTTTATGAACACTCGCTCATCGTGACATAGACAATGTATTCACATCACCCCTAAATTATCAGCCAGGACCTCCATCCAAAAGCAATCAAAATAAAAGGTACCAAGACATATTACTCCTTCTTCCTATGTCTCTAGATGAGTTATTCAAACATCTCAACAATATCAATCGAGTCGTCTCCATCTCTCGTGTATCTAGTTTAACAATCATATCCATATTGGTGCAAGCTCGATAAAAAAAATATGACTACTATATTGGTGTAGTAGGGCATGGTATCGAGAGTTGCTTGGTTTTTAAGAGAAAGGCTCGATCTCTAGTTGATCATGGTTGGATGTCTTTGGATAACAACACATCGAACACCAACACCAATCCACTCGTCGAACCATATAGTTGTCAACACAAAAGATGAAAATATTGATCGGGCATATTTACGATCATAGAGGGTCGATATAGGCCCATACTTTGCAAATTGAGTTCTTTATTAATTTCTAAACATTGTATTGAAATATTTTATTCGAGTTTTGCTAAATAAATGACACATTTTAATGGTATTAAATTTTCTCATTATATGACCGATGCTTGTCATACTCGTAACAAAAAATAAATTACCTTACTTCGACTTTCTAAATGCGGATAGGATGAGCAAGGGTCGATCCATAGGGAACTAC